TGTTTGAACCACTGTAGTTCCAAAACAAGACTGTGCAACGGTTTGGTAATAATCGGACAAGTGGATAGACAAATATTTGAAAATCGGTCGGTTTTTGTCGTCACACACAGAGCCACCATCCACACATTCGACACTGAAAACAGCTGTAGATCTTCCGGAAAATGCCAAGTGGCACCAATACTGTGTTAGATGTGGAAACGCGCGCGCATATTATCCAACTCCGACGATGCCAATTGTCAAAATGGGAAACAAATACCTGCTCAACACTTTGCCACCATCTCTCTGCGGCAAGCAAAACGTGTAAAAAACTCTTTGAATTCAGTTTATATGAAGATTATTATTTTTTTGCACTTTTTTCACGTAGTTTTTTTTCCTCTTGGAGCGAGCTGCTGCACAATTATTGTTTATATTTTCACTCTCACTCGACCAGAGTAAATTCAAACTTCCTACATGTTTGCTATGAATTGAAACGGAGTTCAACACTTAATCAAGTCTTTTTACACTTGTTTGCACTTGAAAATTCGTTTCGATTAACGCAAAAAGTATGTTCAAGTAATCGAACAAATATGATTATTCCGACCCACTACACAAACTATAATCAATTTGAACTTTTTCAAATAAACACTCAATCAAGCGGCTGCAATCAATAATTTAATTGACTAACAGCGCGCACATACACCGATTGCACACAGAAGGAAGCGAAAAAGTGATTGTGAATTATGCTCAAGATGCAATTGAACGACGATAAGTAAAATTCACTGCATTTCACAGAATCCACTTGAGAGAAAAAAGCGTTCGATAAAATCTATGGGTTGTCTGTTCGCCAGAAGTACATACGCAACGACGGTAAATGTACAACTGATTTGATATCCATGCTTTTGCCTGTTTTGCTGTCTGAATTGGATGTGCGCATCTCTGTTGCGGCAACGCTACGTCATTCGATATAAGACGCAAGCAAGTGTACAAGCGCTATGCTGGAATGCCGCTTTGCGGACATCATATTCGTAGAAATGGTTTTGATGACTATTTTATGGAAGAAAGGTGGATTTTTTTCAAGGAATTGAATTAATATGAATGAAAGTGATGATTTTTGATCAATCTAAAGGCATCGATTTCGAAAATTTGCTTTGATAAACCCATCAAAGACCAATGTTTGGTCACCAAATCAGCACTTGAAAAGTCTGCGTTCCTTGAGATACGTGTAGCTGAACGGTTTCCAATAGATGGATTTTCAATAGATGGAGCCACAACTGGGCTTCACTCAAGTCTATTTGAATGTAAACGTTAAAGAACAACTTACTATGGTATGAAACATGCCGCATGATTTAGAACGATTCTGGATCTTTGAACAGAGGTCAAAGCTAATGCTACCATGTATTTTCTACCAGTGTACTGAAAAAATCAGTACCAAAGCCAGTTTTTTCGCAATATCTCGGAAACGGTTGGATTTAGGCCCCAAATCTCGGCCTTCGGCTACCATCCCCATGAAATTTTCCGCCCGATCGAATGGGACTTCTCACAATTTTCCCCGATTTTCCATTTTCCGTTTATAGCGATATGTTCATTTTCGGAAAATTTTCCAGGATTTGCAATTTTCCGGGAAATTTTCTTGAATTCGTTTTCAGCTTACGATCGTACATTCATAAAATGAAAATGGTTGGAAAATCTTGGAAAACTCGGGAAATATGGAAGATTTTGTAAAAATAAAATGTACTGAAAATGACCCTAAATTTATATATGAGGCCATATTTTGGCTCCAGTGACTTTTCTGGGAAATCTGATCAGATAGAAAACTTCCTTGGGACTTCCTCTTTCCATATGTGTAAACAAGAATTTGCTTCCGACACACGAATTTTTTTTACGAATTTTATTAGTGTACTGAAAAATTCAGTACACATGGTAGCATTAGTCAAAGCAGGTCAAGCTGAAAGGCAAACATCTAAAAAAATCAAAGGAGTAAAATAAAACATTTCTCTCCAGAAATAAAACGCCACGAATGTTGAGTGTGTGTGTTTTTTTTCTCTTGAAATTTTTATTTAATATAAATTTTTGTAATCATATTTTGTATATATTCCATTTTATAATTCGGTAGAATTGTTTCATGTATTTTCTCTTTTATTTTGTGTTGTTGTTTTTTATTTTTTCGAATTAAATGTTAAATCATTTTGCTGAGCGCGTTGGCTCACGTGAAGCTAACTGATCGCGCATAACCAACTGACACTGGTTACATTGTTTTAAATAATTAATATTTTGTTTTTGTTTTGTTTTCATTATGATTGCAATTAATCGTTTATTTGTTGCAGAGTGTTTTTTTTGTTTCTTTAAATTTCATCGTATTTCATTCATTTCTAAAACGTGAGGAATATTTACTTCTTTAAGAATTATTCTCAATCGAACACGAATAAAATACGAATATTGTTTCATTTACTTATAATTTTCATGTAACTTCTCAATGTTTCTTTTCGCGATTTCTTGTTGTTGTTGTCTCTTCTTCACATTGAATATTATGCTGTCTTGCAATAGATTAATAGTAATAATATTAATAATATAGTTTAATTAAATCATTAGTTTTTTTGTTTTGTTTTTTCTTGTCAATTTCAATCTGCTTGTATTTTTTTTAGTCATTGTGTTTTTTTAAAAGAAAATCCTTCTCTCCCGCCCGTTCGGCGGAGTTTTTGTTACTTGAATTTCACACATAAAAATCATAATTTTTTCCATACTTTGCATCTAGTTTTTCAATCCGTATTTTCTTCTTGACGAAGTGCTTTGCATTCATTTGTGTGTCTGTGTCTCTCTACAATCCATGTATGATTGTGCCTTCCATCATAAATGCCTATAGATCGGCCTTTCTTCTTCTTTTGTTTACAAATTTATTTATTTATGTTCAAGCACTATCGAAAAGGATTTCTTGTGTTACACAATTGGATTTTGTATGCAGCGGTCGCCCATTTTGCAGATTACTGATCAAAATTGGAAAACAATATACTTTTTGTTGTTGTTGTTGTTGTTGTTGTTGCTTGTTTTACTAAATCACACATCCACTTTGCAGTTTTGTTTCTTCTAATTACAATTACTACGTAACGTAGTCTACGTCCTGCTCTGGAAATATCCATTCTTCAAAAAAAAAACCATTCCTTATTTTTCACTTTGACATTCTTGTTCTACGTGTTGCATTCACTTTGCAGTGTGTGTGTTTTTGTGTGTGTGTTAAAGAGAGATTGGTTGTTGTATGTTGAAAATGACCGTGCATCGATTTGCATCATCCTTTTCATGTTTCATCTTTGTCATTCTCCCATTTATTTCGAACACATATACATTTATTTATGTTTTTTGCATTTGCATTTGCATTTTAAAATGTTTTTTAGATTTTTGTTGATTTTATTTTTAATTCTTCAATTGTATACTCTTAAATACGATTCCATTTGTTTAATAATGTGTGTTTAATTAGATAGAGATAATTTCAATCTCATACTTCTCGTCTTCCTCATGTTTGCATTGCGCGCAGAGGAGCTTTTTCTCTCTCTCTCTCATTCTGCGGCCGCATTTCATTGGCAGCCACAATTATTCTATGCAGAAATATATAATAAGAATTATGAAATATCGTGTCTAGATTGGGTTAATTTTGTTTTGTTTTGTTTTTTTGTTGTTGTTGTTGTTGTTGTCGCACTCGTTTTGTTTTTCTTTTTCTCTTGTGTTGCGTATATGTGTTTCTATCGGCGTTTGCAAAACGATTTTAGCAAAGTTGTTTTTTATTTTTTTATTAAGCACTTTATCCAACAATTGGTATTTTCTCGTTTGCATACTTCAAAGGTAATTATTTATTCAGCTCTTAAGGTTTTGTGTCTTTGCATAAAATTCATTCGATTCACCCCGGTGGTTAGTATCAAGCCATTTTGGAATTTTTCGTTCATGCATTGCAAAAATTTCGTTCATTCAAATGTGAATTTAAACGCGGATAGAATTTTCATGTGAATGTTAATTGTTTGCGACATAAAGCGTCATAACACGTTGGGGAGTTGATTGATTTATGTGTCTGTTTGTCATATTTAGGTTTGCATTCAAGCAAAACGGATTACTTTGATCACGTAAAGCCTCTAAGCTAGTACGATAAAAAAAATCCATAGTCTTAACTAATGCCATCCATACTTTAAAAGTCAGTGTGCATTATATTTAGGTTTTTTTTTTCGTCTAGAAAAAAAAAACATTTGCAGCCGAATTCAGCTGAATTGTTTCGTTCGATTTTTGTTTTGTTTCATTCAACGCCATTTAACAATCAGAATGACGGAATAAGCTTCACACTGCAATTTCATTGCTTCTCAACGAAATATTATCATTTGTTCAATACATGAATACTTAGTGCCGGTCTGATTGCTAATAGCAGGAAAAAATAATTTGATAAAATTCATGTTGGAATTTTCGCGAAAATACACTTCGTCCAAATCGGGAAGCGTGTCTTTCAAAATGATCGAAATATTGGTGTTTTGTAAGCATCGTGTGTAAGTTTCATTAGATCAATTTAATATTTTTTATATATTTTTTTTAAAACTATTTTCATGATTTCATATGATTCAATTTTTTGTTTCTTTGTTTGTGTGTGGTATGGAAAAAATTTTCGCAGAAAATTATCGTTCAATTTTAAGTATGTGTTTGTTCTTCTTCTTCTTTGTTTTAGTTCATTTGATTCCAGGTTCAGTTCACACAATATTTACCGAACGCATTATTCGGATTCGACAGCGTGTGAAAATGAACAAAAATTCTGGTTACGGGAAATATACATATAAATTAATACAGAATTATAGTGAACATTTGAAAAAAATTGAGCTATAAAAAGCATCTTTCGAAATTTTGTTGTTTTGTGTTGCATTTTATGTGGCCATTTATAACAGTTCAGCAGCAACAGCCACACTTTCATTCTAGGCTTTAATTTTTTTTTTTTGCTCCACTCTTGTTTTGTTTTTACTTTTTTGCTTGCGCACTATGCTGGCTCAATTTTGTTTGGATTTGTTTTTTTTTTTGTTGAGTTTTACTTGAAAAACGAATTCGAAACGCTATCCTGTGAGTGTGATTGCGGCGGACCCGATTGATTTTGTGAATTTGAATTGGACTGTTGTTGCGATTGTTGACCCGATGGTGGTTGCGATTGAGACTGGTTTGGATTCTGTTGCTGTTGTTGCTGGGATCCTGTATGTTTGATCAAAATACAGAAACATTCTTACTTAGGCTCGTCTATTTGTTTGGTTGATATTCTAAATCACTTACGTGACGATGGTTGTTGTTGCGAGTAAGCATTACTTTGTTGACTCTGGTATTGTCGATTGATAGCCAGGAAGTTGCCATAGTTGGCCACAGGTTGCTAAAAGGTTGGACAAAATTGGCATGTTTATTTTCGTCCAAAATGAATTTGAATCAAGTTTTTTTTTTGGTTGAAAAGGCGATGTTTACCTGATTCATGGATGCATTAGATGGTGGTTGCGCCTGTGGTCCGAAAATGCCTGTGGCTTGAATACCGTAATTGGCATTGGGAGCTCCAAAATAGCTGTTGTTATAGTTGTTGTAGCTATTGTTCTGTGGCGGTGGTTGCTGTGGTGGAGCGTACATGCCCATGTATTGTTGTGCATACGGTGTTTGACCTATGAATTTAATAGATATTAATTTTCTATTCATATTCAACAAAAATTCAGGCAGACAGTATTGAAAGAGAGCTACATTACCTGCATTCACTTTTGTTCCGATTGCACCGATCTGAGATGACGGTTTAACTGTTGCTGACATGAGAGAATTCGATGTCGAAGAGATGAGTACGGTGCTCTGATTGTTTATTTGCTGTTGTTGGTTGTATGGTGGCTGATTGATAGCTCCACTCATTCGGAATTGTGATGTCATATTTTGATACATATCTGGCGCTGGTGTCGGTTGCAAATTTGGACCGCTTTGCATGTACGGGGCGTTGTATGGTGCTGAAAGGATGGGAAATTTCGGATTATTAAGTTGAACATATTAATTTAAACTTTGGGTTGAATGAAGAAAAAAGCAAACCTTGAAATTTTTTTGGAAATAAATTCGTACCTGCATTTCCACCTCCATAATGGGCCGATGCGATGTACCTCTCATAATGACCGTATTGAGATGGCATCGGCGATGAATTGTACAGAACGGCCGGAGGTGATGGAATTGCTGACATACCGCCAAACTGTGACGGTTGGTAATATGGTTGGGGTGCCGTTTGGATCCCTTGTTGCATTGGCGGTGGCGATAGACCGAGGCTTGATTGGTGCATTGGTGGCTGGTTTGGTTTCACTTTGCACACATTAGCCGTGGCTGACAATGGGTCAACGTTGTGTTTCAAACCGGCATTTGGATGTGAATTATTGTTTCCGCCGACCATGTGCTGTGGGCTTGGATTGTAGCCAACATTGTCGATATCGGCATCTTGTCCGCCAGATTTTGTGAAATGATCGAGTGAGCTTGGATCTGGTCCAAATGAATTGGAATACGATGCTAAGCCAGATTGGTGCAATTGCTGTTGCGAATGCGTAAACTGGTGTATGTGCTGTTGGTTTTGGGTTGAAACGAATGTCGACGACAAATGAGAATCGTCATTATTTCCCGAATTGTTTGAATTGTTTCCATGCTCGATTACGGGTTGCATCGTTTGTACCGTTTCCCACACCTTTTTAACGCTGGTAATTTTCTTGCTGAGATCGGCAATTGATGGTGAAATCGTGTTTTGACCACTAGCAACGGAATGAATGGCTGTTGAACGTGATGGCGCTATGCACAAACCACCCTTTGAAGTTTTCTCACCTGAAAATCCAAAATTGTTAGTAAAAAAATTTCACAGCTTTGAGCCAAGATCCTTGATTCGAGATACTTACTTGATTGTGTATCGTTTAAAATTTCCGATTCGAAGGTGAACGCTAATTTAAGATCTTTTTCGTATTCAGCATCGGATTTGGGGAATGACATGGTTTGTAGAGCCGACGATATCACATCGGTTTGTGATGGATGTGAGCGTTGCACTTGCGATTGCATCTAAGCATGGAAATAAAAACAAATTCAGAACAAAAAATCACACATTTTCTCGAGAAGATGAAGAGAGAACGGAAAATGTGGTATTTACCTGTTGTTGAGAGTCGAGCATGTCTTGGAAGTTACCGCTCGATGCATTTTTGAACACGTCATCGGCCTTTTTGTCGAGATGATGTTGGTTCTGCGGGTGATGGGGATGATGACCACCCAAATTGTTCGACTGTACTTGATCGTATTGATTTACACCACTTCGTTGGGGCTGTTGCGATGGATTCTGGATTTGCTGTTGATTCGATGGAGTTTGGCGTTTGATCGGGCCGGGCATCGATTTAAAGTTCGTATTTTCGAAAATGATCGTGGACATTTTGGTAGTTGAATCAACTTTGTTGCCGCTATCTTGGCTCAGCTTGTCGATCGATTGGATACTGCTGCTGGAACGTTGAGTGAAATCGGATTCATTGGCATCGCCCATGTGAGCAATGTCACTCTTGTCCCATGTATTTGATGAACTTGAACCGGTGCGATCGCGTTGCTGTTTCACAAATCTTGGTGCCATTTTATTTGGTTGCTGTGGACGATTTGCTGGATTTCCACTGCCCACAACACCTGATGGCGCAATAGCCTTTATATAAAAGAGAATTTTTTCCAGTTATTTTTATCTTCTGCTCCAAGATTAACATATTTTTCGAATACTTACCGGTTGTTGAGATTGACTGGGGTTTGATGTTGGTTTTGCGTTACCTCCCACTGGCTTGGCCGGAATAGATTGGCTCACCGGTTTGGATGTCGTTTGAGCATTGATCTGTGGCTTGCCGCGATTTACTGGCGCTGTGCCACGTGTGCTGTGCGTATAGTTTGAATCATCTTTTTTAACGGCAACAATTTTGTCTGGCTTACTTCCAATGGCCGCTTGATTTCCACCACTGTAAATACGATGAAAAAAAAAATTGATGTGAATGGTTTTAACATTAGAAATATGAAAACGGCATTCAGTTTCGGAAAATTAACGTACCTGGGTTGCTGTTTATCTCCTGAGAATGGTGGAGTCTTTTCAGTGCGTTGGAGCTGTGGTGGTTGAGTTGGGATTGAAACCGATTTTGATGCATCATCCGATTTTACTATTGTTTGAGTTTCAACTTTTTGACCAGTGGAATCCTTGCGTTGAGGAGCCTGTGATGAACCACCGAATGCTGGTTTTACTGGCAGTGCCTTCTTATCATCAACTTTTGACACTTTTCCGTCTAGAAAATTGAAAACATGATTATTAAATGTATTAAAATAACCCATGTGAACCATTTGCGGAGAAATTCAGTGCACAGCGGAGCTGTGCGGAGTTCGGCGGAGATGCCATACATACACTATATCTAAAGCAGTGCGCTCATGGCTACTTAGATGTGTATTGAACAAAAGAAACGTAAACACAGCAAAGAGTGCTGTTTCGCTCACACGTATAGCGTATGTACGGTATCTCCGCCGAACTCCGCACAGCTCCGCTGTACACTGGATATCTCCGCAAATGGTTCATTTGGGAAGTTTATGTACAGAACTCAATGACTGATTTCAAAAGTAATTAGTTGATGCTGAAAACACGACCCAAGAAACCTACCTGATGAATCAGTTGCATGCGTAGCAATTTCATCAGCGGATTGAGACTCGCTCTTCTTGCTAACTGGCTCTTCAGCTGTTGTTTCTGGTTTCAATTCGGCTTTCTCGTCACTTGGTCCAAATGGACTTTTTGCATTTGGTGGCCCATAGTTGTCGATGCGTTTCACGATTGGACCAGCCGATCTTCTGATCGAAATGAAAGTGTAAAAACATTAGAAAATCCCCGTTACATATCAAAATGGTAATTTGCGATTTGCAAATGAAAACCTACCCTCCTCCTCGTCCACGACGAGATGGTTCGCCACGTGGTACAAATACATCCTTTTGATGGGACTGTTGGCCATCGCCACGGCGACTACCCGAATCGTGTTTGAATCGATCATCTTTGCGATCACGGTTTCCACGACCATGGTATTCATCGTCAGATCCTTCGCTCTCACTGAAATCATTGTATCGGTTTGGTCGGCCACGTCGACCGTTGTTCCAGTTCGAATTGCCACGATAGTTATTGTTTCCACCGTAGCCACGAGTTGGAGGTCCACGTGTATCATGACGCCCACCTCTGGTGTTCGTTCGCTTCATTACATTTCCGTGTTTGCCATCGTCACTGCTGTACGTATCCTTTGAATGTCCACTTCCGTAGCCACGACCAATTTTGGCCGTAACACCCGATTTATCGTCCGATTTCTTTTCAGTACTGATGCCGCCGCCGCTTGGCTCATTTTCCAAGACACTTTCCAACGGTTTTTTGTCGGCTTCAGTAGTCTTAGCCGTTACACTTGACAAATCGCTGAGAACTTCAATCGATTTACGGGCAATTTCTGGGGTGGTTGGAACACTATCGCCCCATGATTTCGGTGCATCGATCATACTTGGCGAAGTGATAAATTGTTTGGTGACATCTTCTTGCGATTGATTCAACGATTTAATGGATGTGTTGCCGGCCGAATGCGTGGACAGATCACGTTCTTCGGATTTCTCTTTGTCCGAGCGGCTATCGATTGAAACCTTGCGCACACGCTGTAAAATCTGTTTCGGTTGAATGTCATCGTTGGCCGATGTGCTTGATGTGCTCGAAATTTGTCGCTGTGGTTGCTTGAAGTCGAGTTCCATTTCATCAGCCCATGATCCAATCTTGTCTTTAAATTCTGGTTGCGATGAATCGGATGTGCTGCGAGCCAAATGCGTCGTTCGCTCACCAACTGAGCTACGGCTTATCGATTCACGACCGCTACTAACACGATCATCATCTTCCGATTCGCATTGTCCAGACGAACTCTTCGAATGCGTTGAGTATGCTCCGCTGGCATTGCCCTTTGAATATGCCGGTTTATCTCTGATATCGTCAACATTGCGTTTCATAATGTGCGATGCTTGCATCGACTGATTTGGTCGACGGATTTGTTCGCGCGGACCTGGTCGATGTGGCGCCGACGACTCACCACTTTTGTATGGATGCCGGTCTTGTTGATCGCGCTGTTTCTGGAAGCGTGGCGGCAAATTTGATTGGTATGGTTTGTTGAAGAATGCATCGCCGCTGGAAATTGGTGCGCCTCGATCCCGTGATCGATCGCCAATGTCACGATCGAATTTCGACTCATAACGATTTCCATACTCACGCGGTTCCTTGCCATCTCTAATTTTGCCATCATCTGAACGATATCTGTCATTTGTTCGAGGTTCATTTGCCTCACCTTTGCCATATGCTGGCGCAGACGATGAAGCATTCGATTCGTTTTCATTTTCACCGGACAATTCTTTCTTTTTGTTGATTTTCTGCTCCAATTCTTGAAGTTTTTTAGCCGCAGCCAATCGTCGTTCATTTGCTCGTCGCTCTTCTTCTTCTTTGCGTTGCTTGACGCGTTCCAATAGCTCAGCATCGACAACGGGTGGACCGCTTCGATGACCGTTTTGTTGCATTCGCGTTGCTTCCAATTTTTCCCGCTCATTTCGCTCATTGTTATCACGATCCAATTTCTCGCGTTCAGTTTCACGATTGTAAGCTAAAATATGGTTAATATTTATTTAGTTTAATTTTACTTTACGTAAGAAATATTTTTGAGAAAAACTCACCAGCTCGCATTTCCATTTCACGTTGAGCTCTCGCTTCCTTGTCGTTGAAGTTAACACGTTTTGCATCTTTGCTGCGGGATGTTGTTGGCGGTGTGTCTGAGTCATCATCGGAGAATACTAGTTTTTGATTGTAATCAATTTCATCATCTTGTACCCATCCATCCTCCTTGACAATTTGATCCATGCGTTCCAATTCTTCCTCTTTAATAATGCCTGCACAAAAAGGGAAACATTATTTGCATTAGAAAACCAAATGGCATAAAATCCGGTTGTGATTGCTTACTTTGATATCCTGTATCATAATCATCGTATTGATTCTGATCGATTCGGTTCGATCGGGGCGGCTGTCCACCGCGGCCGCGATACTGTCGGTCATCGTTGCGATCGCGTGAATTTCTGTTGTACGATTGATATTGTTGGTCTCTGCCATCGGGTCTGCCATAGTTTCGTCGGTTGTCACGATTGCCACCCATTTGCGATTGTTGATGTGGCTGTTGCTGTTGATGCTGATAATGATGATGTTGCTGCTGGTGTTGGTGTGCCTGTTGTTGTTGTAGCTGTTCAGTTTCGGGCGGTAAATTATCGAAGCCGCTGATGCGTTGCATGAACGTTGGCATCAATGCACGAAACTGTGGTGGTAAAACTTGTTGGTGGGCCAGGCCCGCTGATGAATTGCTGTTTCCGCCGCCTTGTTGCAATGTGTTCGGATCTAAGTATCCATCTTTTTCTGTGCGATTTTGTTCGAATTGTGTATCGGCAGCATTTGCATTGGCATTTTGGTTGTTGTTGCTGTGGCTGTGATTGTGTGCATCCGATTGATTTGGGCCACCACCGGCCGAGCCGCGACTTCCTTTTGATTGTACTTGTGCATTGCTGCCGTCTAATGATGGAAATTCGTGCTGAAATTGTGGGCTTTGATATAGTAGCGGTTTTTGTATAGCCGGCTCGTGTGAACTTGTCACTGCGCTCCATGTTGTCGATGATGAATTATTGTTATTGTTGTTGTTATTATTTGCGTGACCGCTGCCGCTGTTTGCAGATTTACTTTGATAACTTTGTTGCTGATGGTGATGGTGGTGCTGAAGTTGTTGCTGCTGCTGTTGTTGTTGTTGTTGTTGTTGCTGCTGTTGCTGCTGGGATTTCTCGTGACTTGATGCTGGCTGATTATTTGCGTTCGACGATGGTGAAGTAGCTGCAGGCCATGAACCGCTCTGATCTGGTGTTGGTGTCGATGTTTCGGCTTTCAATGATGGCAAATTGGCTGGGGGCCGGCGAGCTGACGGTACTTTACCCAATGTTTGCATGCCATGTTTGCGTGGAACAGCGTTTTTCTGTGCTGACGGTTCAAGGGATTCACCGCGACTAGTTCTATAGAGACTGTTGATGTCTAATGCTGAAAACTTGGGCTTTGCATTGCGCTCCCCCCGACTACCACCAAGTGTGCTCATACTGTAAAACAAACCTCATCAGCAAAACGCTACGCGCTTCTGTCAGTTCAACACACAGTCAAAACGATATTTGCAACCTGTTTTAATGGCGAACCGTATTCTTCGTTTTTAAATGGGTTTTTGCGTGCTCTGTTTTTTTTTCTTTCTCCTTCTTCTTCTTATTCTTCTTCTATTTATTGTCCGTATATATGCGCCGCACTTTCAATCCGAATGCAGAAAGTGTTTCAGTTCTTTGTCAGTCTTGTTCGTTCACACAACGTTTTGTTTTCGTTTTATTTACAATTTTTTCCGTTTTTGGCAATGGCTTTTACAAACAGAAACTGTCAATTCTTTGAGATTTAACACATGCACATGCACTCACACTCACACTAAATAAGTCCAATGTTCAATGTTTGGTGCGGGCTTATTTTGTTTAGTTTCGTCGAAAGAAAAACAAATTTCTTGTGTGTTTTTTTTTCTTCTATTTTTTGTTTGTTTGCTAAACTATAAATTGGTTGTTGATGTGATTTGTTGTATGTTTCGAAATAAAACAACACACAAAATCGCTCACTCGATAGAATATATTTACACTGTGATTCAATTTTTATTCGATCCGTTGAAGTGGAATAGTTGTGCGTTTGCACTGCAGTTTCTTTGTTGTTGTTGTTGTTGCTGTTTTTTCACTTTATGAATTTAATGTCGATAAATAATTAGGTTGGATTTTTCCTTGTATTTTCGGCTGAAATTTTCACCAAAGTGATGTTTTGCTACAAATTTTGTTCGCTTGTGTAATGGGAACGATCCTCTCCGTGTGATTAAATGCGCTGCAAAAAAGAAACAAAAACAAAAACAAATTGAAATGGATCCAAAAAATTAAATGACTTTCAAATGGTGTGATGTAACACAAAACAATCATAATTTATCATTGAGCCATATGACTCCAAATCACATGAAGCACATTATGACCAAACTGAATTGCCTTTCATAAAAATAAACATTGCTGCCAATTAAACAGCATTAGCAGTGAAACATAACCTAACTTTTGTTATTGGGTCGACGTAAACGGGAATTTGTTATATGTAATTTATTGATAAGAATGCAACAATGACAAATGTCGCTGAGTCGGAATTTGAAAAGAAACAACAACAAAAAACAAAAAATAAACAAGCAACTTTCAAACGATGCGGATGTGTGTGTGTCTTTTTTCAATGAACCAGACAAATCACAACGATGTTATTGATAAATGCTGCAATAAAAATCGTCAATGAAAATTAATTGCGTCTATTCGCTTGTAATTTGGTTGCAATTTTTGCATGCGTTGCGAAAGAGAAGAAAAATATGCTGAGACTACGGGAAATGCAGTGTCATTCCATATAATCACCGAATATAAATAGAAATTTTATCTTTCAATTATAAAATTTCAATTAGATTTTGTTTCGCGAACCAAATATTCTTTGACTTTAGTTTTTGGTCAAATGAATGTATCACACGCGTACACTATACACGGATCACCGAAAAGCTTTTTTTGCATCAGGTTCAAACTACTTGCAGCTTTTTTCGGTACAAAACTGCTGAAATTTCTGATGCGTCATTTAAAATTGTTTGACTCATGTGTTTGCATGTTTTTGCCAATTTTGTTGGTGCGAGTGGCACGCGTTCTGTATGTGTATTCCACGGTTATAACAACACTTTGACTGTCATCACTGTCTTTGTCGTCGTCATCATCGTTGTCATTTACAAAAACGCACGACTTTCTTTGTACCTTTCCAATGCAAAACTCAACAAAAGAAAAGACAGAGAGAGAAAATCACACACAATTGACGTGCTCACTCTCCCCTTTTGCTTATTTCATTTACAAATAACAATTGAACTTTCATCTAAGAACTCACATCTTCATGTATGAATTGCGAATTTTCTATTCGTAGCTTTTTAGTGGAACAATTGGTTCCCACATGAAAAAAAACCGTCTAGAATTTCAGCGTTTTTTATCGTTCCTTTTCTTTTCATCTATGCGTTTTGTTTTCGCATCAGGCGTTATAAAATACAGATATTTTATTTATTACGAAACTTCTTCGTTCATCACATTTAGTACACACAGAGAGTGACTAGACGGCTTCTGTGTCAGCTCAATATAACGCTATAACCAATTTTGCGATGTGTCGAATGTATGAGCAGAATTATGTATGAACATTCTTCGACTGTGAAGTCGCATGCATGTATGCGAAAACCACACACGGTCGTCGGTTTGAGTTAGATTTTTGCAACGACATCGGCGATGACAACGACGACGGCAAACGCTTTTTGGGGCAGTCACACACGAACACTTGACTTAACATTGATACTTTTATCGTTATAGCTACACACACTCAACGACTCCAAGCAGAAGGCCGGTCATTCAATGCATTGCAGCACAACAAGAGAGAGAGAGAAAGAGCGTGAGTAAGAGCAGTAGTGAAGATTCTATGAGCAATAACACATCGGTCAATAAGTCCCGAGCCTAACCACCAAGTGGCAACACTAATGTCAAACCCATATCATTTTCGAAAACTACAACCTTTTTTAGGAATCCAGTCAAAATTTGAGCCAAATCCGACCATCAGTTCGCTAATTACAGCACTTTAAATGAAGCAATTTTCCAATTTTCCAAAATCATGGAAAAACTGCATTTCTCCTCTCGATTTGACACATGTATTCCAGAAGAAAAACGAGCAGGAGTACCAAACCCATACTATGATTAGTTTATGGCATCCTTAGGCTTTCGAAATCAATCATTAGATATGGAAGAATTGAATTTATGCATAGCCATAAGAGCGATTTTGTCGATAAGCCTCCAAATTGTTCAAAATATGTGGTTTTGGAAGAAATCATTGCCAAAATCCGTTAAGTGATATCGGAATTCTCAAATGTGATAGTTCATAGATTTGCTAAGGCCATAGGGCAACTAACTCAAGCTATAGTTACAACTTTGCATGGATATATGCATATGAAATACTCAATCGAAAAAGCCTTGCCGCGTTTTTGGATATGGAGTAGATAGAACAGTTTTTTGGGGATTCGAAGCCCGTTTGGAGCTGTATAAGTAAAATTTGAATAGGGTTTTGCCTTTATATATTAGAATTAATGTATTTTGAGTTCATTTGAATAGATTCGATCTATAAATTGCGGGTAGAAATCGCCAAAAACGGTTTGTAGCGACCAAGGTCGCAAAATATGAGTTCGGGCATTATTAGTGGATTTAGGTATAGAAAAATATTCGCGAACCAGTGGGAAAGATATAAAACAACATGAAAAGTCACTTATGCATCATTTTAGACCTATCCGAATGTCAAATCTTGATAAAACATAGCAAATTTGGCGAAGAAAACTATGTTGTTCAAATGCGAGTTTCATCCAGGTCAAAGAACTGTTTATATGGTGATATAATTGAACGAAATTGGTTTCAAACTGCTTCACTAACCATTGTATTTTTTAGGTCTGGTCATTCTCTGAACTCTCCACATGAATATACTTGAATACAATGCATCAGAAGAAAGTTATACCGTTTTAACGGCAAAATTGAAGCATTTTCGGGAGTCTTTCTCTCGTATAGCTGTAACTAGCAAACTGATGGTCGGATTTGGCTCAAATTTTGACTGGATTCCTAAAAAAGGTTGTAGTTTTCGAAAATGATATGGGTTTGACATTAGTGTTGCCACTTGGTGGTTAGGCTCGGGACTTATTGACCGATGTGTTATATTGGTTGATGTAGACAATTTATGGTATCACATTTGCAACCGTGAGCCACCCGCTTCTGTTCGAAATGCTTATGTGACGATCATTGTAGAAGAAATGAAACTGTGACGATTCACGGGCGCGCGACACTGAGAAACAAAGCAATTAAAAATTGAATGTGTCAATTTCGATTATGGAAAAGTCGTCGTACATCCGAATGTGGCGCCTAGCAAGTAGCAATTGACTATTAACAATCAATAAACTGGCCAAAAGTGATTAAAAACTTTGGACATTAATACATAACGACTGAAGTGACTGTTGGAAACAAGCGCTCTGACAATTGTCATAAATTATAAATAAATTAAATTTTCCTTGTTGCCACAATTGAAACACATGAGCCTAACGTTCCAATGATGTTTTCTATATGACTTCCACGGAAGATTTGCAGCGACACAGAGAGAAAAAAATTACAAACAATTTCGATTGTTTTGCCTTTTATTTGACATCTTAGCAATTTTTTTTTATTGAAATACATTGCTTCATTCTGCGGCTAAAAGATTCATTAAAGCAAATCTGTAAAACATCTCTATGTGTGTTTAGTCTTCAAATGGAGCGAAATACAAAAAGTGAGTTTCATTTGCGTTAATTATTAGCAATTAAATGAAACAAATCAGAGGGGAAAAAACGTGAGCGAAGGAAGTCAAGTACGGCTCACATTGAATATAAAACGATTGAAAGACCTCCACATCAAATAAAATACGCTTGGTTCCGTAAACGGATCTCTTCAATATCTTTTGCATGAACAGCAACTAACATTTTGTGAAATTTTGTGCTTTTTTTCTGTCTGTTTCTGCAGAAAGTTCACACATCAGCATTCATGTTTTGTGTTTTTTTTTTGTGTGTGTAAACATTTGGGGAAAACCACCAATGTGAAATGGAGATGTACAGCACGGTGAAATAAAAAAGCGAGAAAATACTGTACACAAAATATGGCGGCTGCCGAAAGCAATAGATTATGTAGTAGAAATAGTTGAGTGATATGAAAGTGAGTGTGTGAGTGCATGCGAAGTATGTCGGGCACATACGCTAACACACACACTCACACACACTTGCACGCGAAGCACTTTATCGCTTCACACTTTTCTACCGTTGTTGTTGTTGTTTCGGTTGTTGTTCTGTGAAGAAGAAAAAAAAATGTAGCAATAGAACACGGCAGTGAATATGTCAGCGTATGGAATTCCTTTTACTACACGCGCTACCAGCTTTCTATACACCTCGACACGCGCGCATACACTCAGACACACACTCACACACCAACGAATGCCTCATTTTGTATCGTTCGCTACATACAGCAACAATTTCGGTCATTAGTGCTGTGGGCGATGCTACATAGAATGAAATTGAACGAAGCGAACGAAGGCAAACGGATAAGTTGCATTGACAGCTTGTCGATATATATGATTTTTACAATATTGATGACGACGAAACTATTGTAAAATGGTTCTTTTCTGATATATTTTCCATGATTTTCCTGCATCATTTTGTCAGAAATGTTCAAACAAATTGATTGTTTTTACCTTCGATTCTTGCCAATCACTTTAGCTATCGGCAAATCTTGTCGGCGACGGGAAATGAATGCGAATGTGTTGATTTGGTGAAGAAAATCACCGATATACATAAATGGTGTGTCGAATGAATGGATTTATGAAGAAGGATGCTTGAAATGGCTCATTTACCAGCATGTATAAATATTGACGTTGCAATCAATGGAACCGCACATTTCCAATGAAAAATCATTTATGTCTTCAAAAAGAATTGTTGTGCTAAACTAAAATAATGGAAGAAAACGTCCACACCAATATTTTGTACTGTCAATTAGTTAGCAAGAGAATGAATTTCACAACCAATCCAAGTTCTAAGAAATTGTCCAACGTCCAATGGTCGTTCTTGAACAAAAGAAAAAGAAGAAGAGTCGAACAAGTTTTTGTTCATTTGTTTCGAGTAGTTTTTCATTAATGATTTGAAATCGTAATGTTCTGGTTTTGCACGTATCCTCTTGAGTAACACATACAGGCGCAAATTGTTGGCAACAAGGATCGAAAGACCGCACCGCTGTCGTTCATTTGAATTTGAACTGCACGTACACATAAGAGCCGAACCGACAGAATTCGAGTGAATTTTATATTGGTGTCGCTTTTGTGTACGTGTGACCGTAGTGAAAAAGAGCAAAGATGGCATCAAAAGCCGATCCCGTAGCACATGCTAGACAGAGCAATGGAGAGAGAGAGAGAGAGAGAGAGAGAGCGTGAGCTATACGGATGGATTTTTTTGGTATTGGTGTGCATGAGTTATGTGTATGCGTATATACGCATGTGTGAGTTTGTACGTTTTCACAAGTGAACGACACACCGACAAAATGCGGCGAAATGGCGAAAATATTTCATGCTGAATGAGAGACAAATTCGAAAGAGAAAAAAAAGCGTGAAAAATCAACAGAAAAATAAATGAAACATTAAATGATTTCTGAATTTTCATCGACGTGCAACCAACATGTATGTGGCATTTTTTGCGATCAATTTGCCAAGCCACACAAATATGCATGTGTCGATATGACGATTGACCGAATTGATGATGGTGTGTTCTACACATGGCGTGGCGTACGATACCAAAGTCTATTCGAAATGATTACTTTTTTTCTGCAACTCTTTTCTTTTTCGCTCACACTCTGGTGCTGTAGTCGCACTCGCTGAATCGTTCAATCGTAGAAGGCAGAAATAATGTCAATGTTATATGTGTATTATGCATGTATGTGACGACAGTGTACTGACACAATAAAAATGCCAAAGCAGCCGAGTAGACAAACCAAGTGTAATGAACGCAATTTGAGCAGAAAGGAATAGTTCGTTCTTTTTTTTGCCGATTGATTTGTATCGAGACATTGATGTGTGTCACACAACCACACACCGATCAAATCTTCGCAGCAGCAAACGGGTCACATTCAATTATATATGTATCTATCTGTGTGTGTATGTGTGCGCACGCCACCGATACACACAATTCATCAAAAAGTTAGATCAAAATCCATTCGAAATTCGTTCTTTTTCTTCACTTTTTTTTCTCTATTTTGCGAACACTATTCTTAATTTTTAATCATTTCATATATTCACCATGTATTCAAATAAATATCCATAGCGCACTGATCTATCGATGTCGTCTTTTTTTTTTGTTAGAGGAAAAGAAAATGTATGAGCAAAATTTTGTCATTAGTCATTGCATTTCAGTTTGATATATGTGCTTCGGTCGAGCAAATTCCAAGAAATCGAAAAATTGTTTTCGTCAAACAAACTCACCTTGATATTCGATTGGCAGTCGGTAGTCAATCAAATTAAAAGGGCTGCTAACTGTTCGATTAAATCGAAACACACACAAAAAAAAGAAACAAAAATTAAACTACACTTCTTTCTGTTGAAATTCAATCTTTTTTTTTGCTTGGTTACGCGTGTGTGTTCAGTTTTTCTTTAGCAATTTTTTTTTCTTCTCTTTCAAACGGACGGAGCAAACAGTTTGTTGGTTTGTGTGCTAATCAATTGCCAAAATCAGGTTAAGTAAAATTGAGTTGGTTGGCTTTGTGTAATGTATGATTTGTTTGTGATATATATGCTGCAATTACAGTTCCGTTCTACCACAATGACACAAACAATCACTACAAAACTATTTTTTTGCACTTTATGCCGTGATTTTTCGGTGCAATAACTTTCTTCTTTCTGTTCCTCGGTTTCACTTTTGGGTTGATTTTTTTTCCACCACACACACGCACGCCACACACCATAAAATGCGAACCAAAAAAAGAAGAAAATGCAACCTTTTTCCTCTTTATGTCTCTAAACTTCTTTCGTTTCTTCTTCTCGTCTCCGCAATGATTTGGATTAGGATTTTTTCTTTTATTTCAAATGACATACACGCACATAAAATTTCAACATAAGAACACTATTTATCGAGTTTGCTTGACGATTTCTTCTTCTTTTTCTTTTCCCGTGGATTCACTTGTTTTTTTTTTCTCTCTCTCTCTCTTCGTTTTTTTCTGTACTACGCTGTCGCAAGACCTTCTTTCTTACTCTTTTTTTCTCTTCTTTTTTTTCTTTCAACTACTTTTCGTGTATTAAATTGCAAATTATACAATGCTTTTTTTCCGATTAAACTTTTGTTGTTGATGCTGTTGTTAAGTGGATAACTGATTTGTGTTAAATTTTCTAAAAATATATATAAATTAAATTCACTTTAAACTGTATTAAATTTTTTTTGTTGGTAGTAATTGCTTTTGAAAAGTATTACTACTGCCTAGTGGGCTGCCGCTGTTACTGCTACTGCTGGCTGATTTCGAGACACTATCGAAACCTAGTTCGTGTGACGGCGAAAACTCTTGTACGGCATTATAAACGCCTCGTCGGTGTGCGTACGTGTAGCGATGCGAAAATCAATCACACATTCAACCATTTCGACTAAAGAAAATGGCGAATGAATTCGTTTCAAGTTTCGAATGGCGAATTCGAAATTGAGCTGGCAGCGACACATTGTGTACGTTTCGCTAAACACTTTTGCCGCACAATTCCATTTTCGAAATGCATTCGATTTGAATCGAAGTTTTGAGATGGTGTAATAACCGTTTTTTCCTTGGATTTCGTTGATTTTTCTCTATTTTTAACATTTTTTTGCCCCCCTGAGATGTAATTTTGAAGTATTTCATTTTTTCGTTTTCGAGAAATGAAGCGTAGATCAAACTAAAACTACGTGTATATAGCTGTATATCGTTTATTTCATTTTATCACTATGTTAAAGGTGTATACAATAAAAGTAACCGAAAAAATGACTAAATTTGTCTAAAAAATCTTAATACTCATACAGTGAATATAATCAAAACGTACTTTTTCTTTTATTTTTAAGTACTGCATTTTTTTCGCTTCTTCTCTATTTGCTGCTAAATATTGGAAAATGTTCATAAATGGTTAGAGTGTGTTTGCTTTTGATTTTGGCCGTGTTATCAAAAAAGTGTGTCATTTTCGTGTATAAGTTTATCGATTTCGGTGAATTTGTAATTCGTCTATTCGATATGGTATTTTGGTAAAATTGAAATATTCTCCGCAATGAATGTCCGACCGATGTATTTTTAATAGTAAAATTCGACGAGAGATAATATACATACATATTTATATAGATTTGCAACGCAACTAATACACATTCCCAACAATTCCTTCCAATAGAAAACAACAATGATTTCCAACAATCCAACACTTTTCGAGCTTCATAGCAACCGAATTTCATGTGAGAATAAGCTCAATAACACGCAACTAAAACTCCATATCAATTTCGATTAAATTATACGCTGGATGTATTTTTTGAACCGTGTTTCGCACGTTACACGTTTCATGGCGCCGAAGCGGAACCATCGCATACAATTTGCTGAACACTGATTACTTTGACAATTCTTTAAGATTACAATAACGAATTTGCATGACAATTGTCATGAATGAATTAATCCAATTGGCGAAAAGAGAACAGAATACAAAAAAATCAATAATTTCGATGTTATTACGTGGCACCTATCCAATTTATTGAGCCGCAAAAAATGGATTAGTCGAATTCGGGGTTTTGGTTGTACACAAAATCTCTCGCTCCAAATGGAAACTATATTCCAATGCCGCGTTGACCTTTTTGGTGAAGTCGAATTTCGACAACTGAAAATAGGAGGAAGAATGTGTTGCTTTCAGAACTTATACGCTTTTAAATCAAAAATCGATGTCTTCACCACCAAAACTTACATCGATATCAGCAGCTGGATTTCTAGATAAAGCCGAATTCAAAACAAAAGGGACTCCATCCATTTCGGTGTGAGTTCCAAGAGTGCCGGTCGGATACTTATTGAATGAATCTAAATGAGAGAATAAATAGCATTTGAGTATACAATCGATTTCAATTTTGAATTCAATGCCTATGTCACCTGTTGGATGCGCCAGATGCGATGGTGGTCGTGGAGCTGGTCGTGGTGGCGGTGTCGGATCCAATCGGTATGACGTTCGAATCAGTTCATAATCGTTATTGTTGACAGCTTTTCCATTGTCATTTAAATTGGTTGCATTCGATCCGTTGCGAATGTTCATATAGTAGAGATTATTTTCGAGCTCGTTAATGGCCGAATTATGATCGGCTGGTATTGATGGTGGTGGCCGATGTGGGATCGGTCCACTTTTGAAACACACCGTCACTCCATTTATTTCACCGGCCAGCAAAAAACCATCGGGTGCCGATTTGGTTTTTGAGCACAATATCACATCTGTAACTGCCTCTCTGACTGATCCTCGCTTGGCCAATCGATAGCAAATCTGCTTCTTTCGCCATGCTTTGTGTTCTGTGTCGGCGGTTCGAGTTAGTATCGAAAAACCTTCGCCGGGTAACTCACGTTCACCGCAAACTCTGTCCGAAGAATCAGGAGATTCCGAATTAAACTAAAATCATTTATGGAATGGTCGGTTTTTAACTCACTTCAACGTTTCCACAATGTATTCCGGAAGACCTTCACACTTTGACAGGCACAAGTATCGTGTTGTTCGTTTTCCAAAAATATTCGTCTCACGCCATAGATCTGCATCAGAATCCTGGTCATGCGTTCGATTAACTGACACAAAGTTTTTTGGACATCTGCAATTTAGTACATGTATTTAATGCATTATTTTTACTTGAATTTCGGGGAAAAAAATGACTTGTGATTGGGCTTACTTTTCATGATCCTCGACAATCTGCAGCGATGTAATTGGCCGATTGTCAGGTAAAACGTTCATAATCAAATTTTTCACATTTTTTTGTTTCGACATTTTTCGTCGTCGTCAATTGAGCCTCTGTATCGCTTGCTTAAAACTTTTTCGCCAAATTCAGTCTTTTAATTTGTGACTCAGATAAATAGTCTATATCTAAACTTTATTCTCTCCAATTATTTGCTTCCTTCATATCATTGCTATGTGACGAACTCTGTAAATACAAATTGAAAGAGCACATATGTTACTAAAGCTGTGAGTCATGTATCGCTCAAATTCTTTACATAGAAAGAGATTGAGCAAATGCAATCTCTGGAACAACGGGGGAAGATAATGACGTGAACTTCTTTCTGTGCATTTTGATTGTAAGGTTATCCCATCATTGAAAATTGTTGCTTTGATTATTTGGAAAATAAAGCCATTTCCGGTTGAAAATCTGTTTTGTTAGATATTTTAGGTTTTTTGTTCCTGCAAACGATGCGAAAATCAAATACAACCGTTCAACAAAAAAGTCGTTTGAATCAACAATGATCTCTTTCATAAATTTAACACATCTATTTTTAAAATTGTTATGTGTAGTAATAACAGTGGCAAAAAATTGGATTCACAGTTAAATTTCCTGACCTAAAAACCACAAACAATAACTATGACTCTTTTTTTAGATGGTCAATTATGGCTAAATAACAATTTGTCTCACGAGTGAGTGAGTGAGTTTATTAAGTGAGTGAGTTCTGCCTGACTGACTTTGTTTATTTCTTTGTTTAATTTATTCGTTCGATTTGGTCGTGGTGCAAAAGTGCTTGTGCACTCAATAGTACAAAGCTATCGAATGTGATTAAGTCGATCGTCACACTTAAGAGCTCTTCGATTTATTGATGATGACAGATAACGGAATCTCCACAAAAACAACATTTAGGTCAACGAAATTTGTGTTTGCAAATTAACAACAGTGACAACTTTCACTACGAAAAGAATGCTTATTTCAAGCAATATCAATTTGCACCGATTTGCAAATTTTTCACCATTTTATTGCTGTCCGAAGCAATTTCAACATTAAACATCCTCCGTAATTGTAATATCATCATAAAATACATGACAGAAAATTTGATCAACAGAAATGATACGAAACGAAAATTAAAATCGCAATATAGTTGAATCCGCTTCCTAATCTTCAGGGGGAATTAATGATAAACATTGTAAATCATTGAGTCAGGCGTCGCTTATCACACTTACACACCGAATCATTAGGCGTTTAATAGTTCAACAATACGGACTCTTTATAATCCATATTAATTAGCGTCGCGCACTTTGTCTGTCGGAGTTCATTGCAATTCGTTTATATAACAACAGCAGATGAGTGAATAGCTGCGAGCAGCAAACTCACTGGAATTTACAACGATTAGAGCTACAATTACACGATGACTCATATATATGTACTACAAACAAAAACACAGAAAAAAAGGTAGAAATGTGAATGTGAAAAGATCAAAATAGACACCAACAAAATAAAATCCACTCCGGTTGAAAGCGTATCGTTTTTTTTTGTGTGTCTGTACGCTTGAAATACGTGTTCTTACATAGACACTCCGACATTTCGAACGAATTGCCGTGCTGAGAAGAACACCATAGAAACGAACGGAAAGAAATGCACGAAAACATCTAATGAATATAACCACTTTGCTTTTTTTTCTCTCTCTCTCTCTCTCCCTCTCTCGACTCTTGTTTTTTTTCTCCTTCATTCGCTTTTCCATTGAGTGGCCATTGAACGAATATTCTGAAACATAATGACTAGATTTTCCATTTTTCAAGTAAATTTCATTTGCTTTCTTAATGATAACGATGCGTTTTGTGTAATAAAAACCCAGCAGACTGATAATTTTCTCTTGGGTGAATGTAAGTGAAGAGAAATTGTCGAGAGAAATTCCAAAGTGCGTTTGACGAATGGTATTCACAATTGGTATATTTGTCGCACAGAACAAAAGGTGCTTGAGGTCCGCCCTCTGCATGCTAAAGTGCTTTGAACTTTGAAAAGCCGAGAATAAATGACACCAAACCAAAACCCTACTACACGAACAGCGTTGTAGTTAACATGGTTTGATTTACGAGTCATAAAAAAGCCGCAAAATCTGTGTGCGTTCGCATCGCTCGTTTGTTCTCTTTGATTTAATGTTCGTCACAAATAATTCTATTAAAACACCAGAACGCGTAGCGAAAAAATCGTCTTTGTTCTGGTATTCTACTGTTCTGCTATTTGATCAACAGCATAAACCTCATTCGATTTGAATGTTCAACAGATTTAGTTCTTGGAAAAAGGTCATGTACGCATTACAAAAATGAATTCTTATATTTGAGAATTAGTCGAAAGTAAACAACGTCAATACGGCGCAGAGGCGCAGTTGAACGTTTGCTGATAACTTTGATTTTAAATTTACAACACGAGTCTGACCGTCCCATATATCCACTTCGAAGCGTATGAACTCGCAATTTAAATTGGAAGTATTTGTTGTTTTTTTCCTTCTCATTTTCTGAAGGTTCCCTTTTTTTATAATACTTTGGAACGTGTCTGAAACGGCGCAACTCCTTTAGAAGAATTATTATTTGGCATGCATTTGGTTTCGGTATGGATTTTTTGTTTTGCACGCTGTTCGTGTAGTTGTGGGTTTGCAATTTTCTTTTGTTTGGTTTCTTTGTGTCTGGAAAGCGCGATTTGAGAGACGGGCATGGTATCGTCAATGCACAGCCCAACATAAACTGCTCTTTATGAATGTTCAACGAAGCAATCTTGATATTGAGGGAAATGTAAACGAACGAAATATTAATCGGATACACACACTCAAACACACACACACAGAGATACACAAATGGCTGATTGGTTGTCATCGAAACAATATCATGTCGAGGCATTCGATAACAGCGAAAATTGATTTATGCTTTCAGGATGAACAATAACAAAGAATGTTATCATTTATGGATGATAAAGAGCTCAGCGATGAGACTGCGTTGTCAATACCAGTCAACGTTAACTGCTTTGCGACCTGATCACTTTTTGCTATTTTCATGTCAAGCAAATTAATCACAAAATTGAGTTGATTGTAGCAATTTGAAGTTGAAAAACATGAAAAATGTGATATTGTTCTTTTTTGTATCTTCCTCGTTCATTTCAGTCAAACAATTTTCAAAACTACCAGTTTTCATTGAGCCGACAGACGTGTAGTAGTAAAAAAAACTCATCAAAAATATCTGGATTTCTATCGAGTTATAAATGCGTGTAAATTTCGTCACAGCCTCACACAATATTTATAAGAGTATTAAATGACATAACAAAATTGAGAACCATTGAAACTTTGGCACGGCACGAGATGTGTTTATACGACGAAACGTTCGGTGTTGTTGCTTCATCATCTCTTTTTTTCTTGTTCAAAATAAAAATACATAATTTCATTCATAACGCGAATGCGTTAAATGTGTAGAAAATCACTCGATGAACCGAGAGCAGTGTTCACACTAGCAATCACTTTAAATATTCGCTATCGCTTTTAATGTTGCGTAGAAAATGAGCGAGAAAATAAAATCTTTCACGAATCATATGAAAGTGAATCATTATTGCAATTGGAGGAAGCATTTACAACTGGTTGGCCAAGTTATTATTGTCGCACAGCATCCACGGCGCAAGTGAGCGATGAGAAAATAAACAAAAATGAATCAATTTGAGTATTTAGTGTCAAATCGTGCATTTTGCATTCAACAACGTAATGGTTAGCTACTCGTTTTACGAATCTTTTTTCTCTTTTTCGTCTCTTGATTTCATTTCGTTCACAATAGAATCTAATTAGTAATTCCCCGATAATGCAACGAAAAAAAATAAACTCACGATGGTAAACATACATAACTATCATACGTAGCAACAGTGAAACGAAATGGAAAATTGCAAAAAACAGAGACAAAAGAAATTCTCACTACGTTTTTCCCCCATTCAATTGAATTTAATTCGTTTTTATTTTAGTTTGTATTCTGTAGACCAAAGCAATTAAGAATTTTAGAACACTCACACACGATGTTTGGACTGCGTTTACTGCACACTCTTCCTTTTTATTATTACGAACGTTTCGCAAGTAAAACTTGTTCTCTACTGAAACGCTCAAGCTACAACAAAACACAACGAACTCTCACAGATTCAGAACTCCGTAAAAGAGGTTGGTTCGCCTTTGTTTGTATGCTGATATCGTTGTTACATACACCAAGCATGTGATTTTGTTGTTGTGCACACTTGCTACGTGTATCGGAACGTCAATATTGTTCGTTCGTTTGTGTGGGTGACCGTTCGATGTTATGCGATATTTTGTTTCGATGTTTTTCTTTGATTTATTTCTGGTTGATGTGACCAGAAGTGTTTGGCATCTAGGAAAGAGCTGGTTTTATGTAGGATGAATAAAAGAACGATGTGCAATGTGCATTGCAACATCAACAGATGAATTATCATCTTTTGGCTGTGAAAAATTGACATACCATAAATCGATATTCCGAAAAGTCTTCTGATCCCATTCTGAAAGGCAAAACACTGGCTTTTGACTCAAAATTTCAAAAGGTCACCAGAACAAAACGAAACACCCATTGTTCTCAATTTGAGTTTTTATTTAATTATTGACTGTTGATTTAGCATTAACAGAAGCAAAATGGCTTTACAATTTCTCGTTCACATCAAAGATGATCGGGAAAAAAATGTACGATCTCTTTTGCTGTTATCGCCGAATCCGTGGATTTTGGTTCCATGGTTTGCGTAATTCTTTCTGCTGTTTTTACTGAAGTTGGATGTTTTTTTTTATTTTGATGTAACTAAACTAAAATAAATCTTCTTCATTCCGGCTAACTGAGCGAATCTATTTTGCTTCTGGCTTTGGCTTTGGCTTCAGCATTTTATAGGCGATGAACACCCCAATCAATGCGTATGTGGCTTTTGCGCACTAAATGGATGGAAATGAAAATTTCGGAAAATCAACATAAATCATTAAAAAATTCAAAGGAAATGTATGAGATCTCTTACGTTAGCTCTGCCAAAGTTGGTTTCGGCATTGAAAATTCTGCTCAAGCCTTTGAGGTTAGGGTTATCTGCAGCTCCACCAGCCATTTCTACACAACAAAAAGTTTGAAAATGAAAAGAAACGAATTTTTATTCTGTCTCCATATGATTCTACGTATATTTATCATGTGAACTGTTGTTTTATCTTTACTTTGTCAATTTTTCTCGTTTTATTTTACAGATTTTACTTACTTTTTCACACAAAAGGTAGATACTTGAAGTTAGACCACGAAAATTGCGAAGAAAATCTATAGCAGAAATGATTACGGAATGATTATTATGTAAGGTAGAGTTTGTCAATGTCACAAGTCTGTCGCTGTGTGACAGCGGCGATGTTTCGATGTTTCGATGTTTCGATGTTTCGTTCAGAAGACCAACCGTTTCGTTGAGTTGAGATTGATTTCTTATTGGCAACAATGCAAACGCAACCGAATTACGAAATATGATTTATTTTTTTAGATGAAATCTATGGTTTTTATTCAACAAATTTATTCCTACAATTATTCATTATTATTCACAACATTTTTTAGATAATTATCTAGAGACGGGCGTTTATTCAATCATGAAATGAACTATGCATTGTAGTTCCTTTCACTGTGTTGTATATCATATATCCGAGCCATAAACAGAATCCACCAATCAATGTATATCGGTTGCTTTGATTCTAAGAATGGGAAAAGAGAATGTTTTACCATAAATATGAAAATGATTTAGCCATTCGTTCATTTCCATGTTTGCTTACTTTGTAGAATGGTTTATACCCTTCAATCATCAATCGGTCACGCATTTTAAAACGCACCTCCATCAATTCACGTGCCAGTGGATTGTCTGCATTTGCCGTTTTTTTTGGTATATTCTCTGCCATCACTTGACTTGTATGCACTTGGGAAATACGTTCAAAATACTTGACAATAGATTTATTTTCAGCTATTTATTCGAAGAGAAATAAACCACAACCAAGAAGTATTTTGATTGGACTCGTCCAATTGACAGCTGTCAAAATGTTGACGTTGTTGTAAACTCAACGAACACTGAACTTTTTCATTGATTTTGTTAAAATGATTTATGAATATCTATAGAAAACTGATGATTATGATGAGATTCGATGTCCTGCCATAATACATAAATCTCCCACCATAAAATGGTCGAAAGATTTTCTACTTAAAAAGAGAGAGAACCAAATTTAACTAACTGGAGTGATTTTAGTACAGTTTTATTGAGTGTCTTTCACATGGGAAAGCCATTACAATCATTCAACATCTAATTTAATCATAGCACTCATTCGACGTATTTTTTGGTTTTACGATCATATTTCAAAGCATCTGATGGTACACGATCTGGCTTTCTGCAGTGATAGTGGATTCTTGGAAGTTGATAGGCAAAGTACACGGCCATGAAACCGAAGCATGCGTAGGTCAGTGCGTTTGCCTGCAAACAGAAAGTTCAATGCGTCGATTAGACAAGTATCGAGTGAGATTTCTATCGATTAGTTGCATGTTTGATGATATTTGATTCAAACGCAACTACTTTTGATCACATAAATTTACCTTGAAGGGTTTTTTGGATGCTGGATGCTCCATGACACCACGCACCCAAATATCACCCGAAAGTGGATTTGGACGAGACATTCTGCCTTGAAAGAACGTAAAATAAACGTTGAGTCTACCAATTTACACACTCTTTTGATTCCGAAATGTTTACTTACTTGATGTACGGTTTTTATTATCCGAAAAATATGGAAATTCTCGAAGAATTTGATGGTTTTTCGTCTAATATCAAGTTATATAAGGTCCGCTCTGTTTATTGTTTTACAATGAACTGACTGACTGTCAAAACACATATGGAAAAGAATGGTTTCGTTGAGTTTTGACATTTTCACCACTATTGGTTGGTGACCATGCAAACGATTTAAATTCAGACAATTTGTTTTTAATATTCAAACGAAATTCAAAATAAAACGAAATTTGGAAAAAAACACAAATGAATTTAAAATTGTTGTGCAAAATTAGTGCGAGTTTTTGTTTTATTTTTGCAAAAAGCTTGAATAAAAATAAATAAAATCATTCGAAAGAAAAGTGGAAATGATTAAATGATTCCATTATATATATTATTCTATTCTTTTCTCACTTCTCTTCTCTGCATATAAAGGATTTTTTTTTTGATTTTATTGTATTGCAATTGATTGCAAATAAAGTTCGAATGTAAATTCGTACAAAAATGAATTTCACTCATTTAGAGAGGATTTTTCGAACAAAGTCCATATAAAATAAGTAACCTTTTTTCTTTTTCTCACATTCCATTATCATATGCCATCTGATATCGTAATTCTCTTTTTAAAAAAGTTGGTTTTCGATTTGGGGGAAAAAAAAAATCATGGGAGATCAAGTTGATGGTTAAGAAAAATAGTTTGGTACTTGCTGTTTGATTGGAACTCATGTTCCATTTGTCATTTTGAATGCAAGCATAGTTATCAGCAGCTGATAACCAAATTATTGATATAATAAGGCGATTTATAAAACAAAAAAAAAGCAACGTTTTTGCTTGATTCAAATTCTTCAATAAACTGAAATTATATCAGATTTTTCACTACAATTCTATAGTAGAGCTCTATACGCTGAACAAAATGATCTAATAAGCAAATGGAACTCTCTAAATTGTTCAAATTGTTATAATCGCATAGTTCTTTTCTTTTGCTTTTTTGGTTTGTTTTTAGTAATTAGAATAATAATTGGTTTTTAAACTGTTTGGCTAAGTGTCTACTAATTTTGTAAACATAATTTCGTAACTACTGAATGACATGAAGTTCGGCTTTTTTTTTCAATTCACTATGAACGTCTACTATTTCTTTGAACAAACATTGAAAATCGAACGCGATTGATGATGAAACTAATCATTGACTATTCTAATGTTGAGATTTGACTGTTTACATTTCTTCGCTAACTTCCGATTCAATGTCACTTTCGCTGGCTGTTGGCTCGGTGGGATCGACCATGGCTACACGGGCATATTCATCCGTATCGATACTCTTGCAGAAATAAATGGCGTACTTTAGTTTTTCCAGCAGAACGGCCTGTTTGGAAAATAGAATAAAAAATTCGTGTCCATAAATTTGTTAGAGCAATTGATTTGCATCGATGTCATCGCAATGCTCATTGAATAAACTCATTCATTACCTTGCAGGAATAACGTGGCATTTTAAGCAAAAAGAAGCAAGTATAACTCTCTGGAAGAAAATGATCGGGTGGTTGATATTTGTCCAACACTTGTAACACGAAATCTCGACCACGGAAATCGGCTATCGTGCGTGGCAATCGCGTTCTGCCCCACACAAAGCGCAAGAACAATGAACGCTCATGATTCGAAAACTCTTCCATCACATCCCAGAACCATTGAACGAGAGACGATGTTGCATCGACTCCCTTGTATGAAGCTACCGATTTTAGTAAGCCCAATGGAATTTCGGGACTGCCGCACACCATTGCCTTTTTGGTTTGAAATGGAATGGGATTAATGAAGTTCGAATGATTTCAGAAATGAGTGGGGAAAAGGGTTCACATTTGATTTAAATTCTTGCTTACCTGCAACTGTGAAGCTGAAAACAGCGAAAGTAAAGGAACCGGGATGACTTTTGACATTCCATCGCGAACCGCTTTAACTTGCTCATCGAACTCTCCCAATCGATAATTCAACGCTAGGCGAACGTATTCTTGTTTGTTTTGCGGTGTGATCTTCGTATACCTGTACAAATAAAATAATGAATAATAAACATGAAAATGCATTCACGTGCAAAAATTGTGCAAATTCCAGCAAAAAAAAAATCCATTCCCGCATACCTTGTCGACAGTTGACAGTCGTGACCTTTGGCAGATGGCGTTGAGAATGGTAAATCGAGTGCATGGAACACTTTCGGATCATCTTCCATGTCTCGGATGCAAATCAAACTGGTGATATAATCTCGATCAACTTCGGTCAAATCGGATGGTCTAAGGGATTCTCCAGTTAGTTGACGCCACACCGGCTCGGCCAAATTCAAACTCAACGGTGAACCAGTGCGTACAGCAATGCCCATCAAAACGCCCAAAAATCGGAACATATTCATCTGCAAAACGGTCACTAATGTTGGGTCGAGTAGGAAGCAATCTCGATTGGCTCCAGCTTCACCACGACCATTCGGTGTTTGAATCAACAGCGGTACGCTTCCGTTCTGGAGTTCGTCACACATTTCGGCAATTGACTCACTGAAACCACCTCCGCAATCATCTACACTCTCACCAACAAACTTTACTTTCCATACTCTTTGCGGGAGGTAAAGGGCTTCTTGATCTGTAAAACAATAGAAAAAATAATAAAATTTGGCTTTTCAAAGAAGACTTGTGGAAAAATCAGCAGAAACTTACTTATCAGCGGTAATTTTTGAACCATTTGCCCGAAAACGCTCTTCATTCCATCGGGGCCAGCAAATCCACCCTTGCTGCGAGATCGTTTCACTTGAATACGATTCAACTCGAATACTGGACCGTGTTGCTTGTCGCGAACCATTGTCGTTTGTACGACTTTTCTGAAAGCTGCTTCTTTGATACTATACACAAGCACATCCTTTAGTGCGGCCAATGAAACTTCACCGTCGATCGGCAGCAGAGTGAAACATGGGCACATTAGCTCCGAGAAATGATGGAGTAGAATGAGCCGAGCGTAAAGCGATTCCGGTGGTAAATCACGAACAAAATCGTACTCGAGCGGTGGATTCGGAGGAGATCGCATCGCATCGTGTATCTGTGACGTTGATAGTGCCAAAGTATGCGCTGAACCACATGTCACTTTTACAACGTATTTTCCTTGAAGTGCCGTCACGATTCGTGGTCGTGGAATTGCACTGTAAATAGACATTATTTTTATTTTATCTTTTCCAATTATTAATTTACTTGACAGAATAGGTAAAACCTACCTGATTGTTCCATCGCCAAGTTGGCCTTCATCGTTGTCGCCCCAGCAAAACACTCTTCCCATATCATCGCAAGCAACACAATGCAGAGATCCAGTTGCAATGGAGACAATTTTGATGCCTTGCAACGCGGCTACTTTCTTTGGTCTTCGCACATGATCGACGGAACCGTGGCCTAGTCTATGATAATCACCTTTTCCCCAAGTGTAAACTGCACCAGATCGAGTTAATGCAATGGAAAACTATAAAAAAAAAGAATGTAGTTCAGTACAAAATGAACAATCGATTGAAAATGAATCATGTTAGATATGTACCTGTGAGCCACATTCAACTTTGACCACACCCAAACCGACTAGACTGTCAATTTTAATGGGATATTTACAGCCTTCAGAGCCACCACGACCCAATTTTCCATAGTCTCCGTCACCAAAACTCCAAACACTATCGTCGTCCGTTATGCACAATGTTTGCGCATCACCTGATCCGCACGCAACATCAATGACTCGATAGCCAATCAGCGCCTCGACCATCTTTGGTTTCAATTGATCTTCAGAATCTCCGTGCCCAAGCCGACCATAGCGGCCTTTTCCCCAAGTGAACAAGTTACCAGACGATGTTATACAAGCCGAATGAGCACTACCACACGCAATATCAATTACACTAACGCCACTCAATGCCTCAATCAACTTTGGTTTATCGTAGCTCAAACGATCGCCATGGCCTAACTTGCCCTCTTCACCTTCACCCCAAGCAAACACATCTCCATCGGCAGTGAGAGCTAGACAGTGTTTGCCACCTGAATTAACGGCAACCTTTTTTATGAAAACGTGTTGCAAAGATTCAACTAAAGTAGGTGATGTCATCGAATCGGTGCCACCGATTCCTAGCCTGCCACCTGCTCCATAGCCCGTTGCGTATAGTTTTCCGTCGGGCGTAACGACAAAAAGAGTTTGTTCACCGCCGGCAATGCAAATCGGTCGCAAAATGCTGAGCGAATCACAAGGTGTAGGACTTTTGATGCGACCACCTTAAATGAAAGAGAAATTCACATGGAAAATAATATTTTAGAAGTTTCCAAACTCGATGTGATAGAAGAATGAATTGATTTTAGTTAAAAATTCGATTTTCTGTTCGAACAACTTCTGTGTTACCTTCTAAACCACCGAGTTGACCGCGGTGATTGTGACCCCATCCATAGATAACAGTCGCTCCGCCCCAGCTCAATGACCAATCTTCCGGTCTGTTGTTTAGCCATTGCAATAGCTGTCGATCATGTTGTGGCTTGAACACTGTATGGTCGAGATACAGCGGCAATTGACCTTCGTGAGTATCTGCAAAGTGAAATTTACAAAGTAAACGAATTGTTGTTCTTTTCGTCTTAAATGAGTTGTTTTTTTTCTTACCTTCACTTGATGTTGCCGAATGTATAGATTCAGCATTGTGTTGTGGAGGACCAAGTACAGCCGGTGCTGAGTTGCTTGATATTTGAGCATTTGATGAATTATTGCTCGCTATCGATTGAATCGATGTGTCCATAGCCAGTGGAATTTGGGTGGTTGGGCTCATTTCAACGATTTTCTTACGAACTTCGGCACAAAATGAAGCTGGCAACGGTGTTCGATAGATGATTGATTGGGCAACACGAACGGCTGAACAGTAGCGTCTAAACCAAGACCATTTTTGCATATCTGAACTGACTAGCAGCGTATCGAGTTGCATGTCACATGCTAAAGCGGCCAGAGTTTTCAAATAATCTGAATGCATCAATTGAATGCCAGACCGAACGTGTGACTCTTCGAATTCGTATTGCTTCAATAAGCAATCGATTAAAGGTGTCAAAAACACATTAAGTGATGGATCTAATGGTTTTGGCGCTAATTTCAACATTAAAAGACGGTGCATCTTTCGTATGGCCCAAATCCGTTGGCTTGTTGTCAACGTGCTCAATTGTGCACATGCCGAAAGTGCGGACGCCAATCGCAGTAGGATGTTTGGATTTGAAGGTTCAAGATTTGAATCGAGCAGAGAAATAACAAGGTCCATTGATGGCTGAGCTAAGATGGTACGATCTGAGCCATTTTCCTGGAGGAATGCGGGCGGCATTATTGCGTGTACCTGTAAAATGGAATCGAAGCAAAATGTAAAAAAAATTGTTTCTTTTTTCAATAAAGTTCAAACTATTTCATACCCAAAACTTGAAGCCCCATCCATTCACTGATGAATCACTGGAGAATTTCCATCTCATTTCTTCACCTGGAATGCGAATTTCGGGAGCCCATTGCGAAAAATCTCGCCCTGAGCGTGTTGCAATCACTCTGCCCGATCCATCCATAATGATCAGCGGGTCATTTCGTTTTTCAGTTGAACATTGTTGATCGAATTCCAATCGCAACGCTTCGGCTTTTGGCATTCTCACATGGCCGACGAGTGTTATGTTATCGATGTATGGATGCGATGTTTCCTGAACCACTGGTCGCGGTATTTTGCCTAAGAAGTTGCGCGAAGTGCACAAATCTTCAAGCTCTGTGATGCAAGTTTCCAAAATCATAACGCAAATCGATGACGAATTCAATCCCATGGCAATCAGTGTGTTTGCAATGGTTTGAGCCGATGTAATTTGCTCAGTGCGACCATTTACACTCAACTTGAGTAGTTCGACTAAATTCTTTGCTTCTGTTTCGCTCAAAAGTGTGGTAAAATCATCCAAACCAGACACGCTATCGTCATTTATCACTTCGTCTGGTTGTGTGATCGTTGCGGCCATCACCGACATCGCACTCGCCGACATTTTTGAGCGTTGCGCCGCATTGTTGCAACTTGAAATCGATGCCGATAGGGAAATGGAGCCATTCAATGATTGGTTCAAACTCTGGAAGGCTGACAATGGACCGGCCATCGCCGGCAAAATCGATGAGGGTATCGCTTCGTGTATGCTCAAGTCAGGTGTTAAAAGATCATTGCATGCTGTTTGCTGATCGGCTGGCCCTTCTCCTCCACCGTTCGCAATTGTTTCGAGTGCCTGAGCATCGTCAGCGGTTCCATGATCACGCAAATTCTCCAAATCTTTGAAATACTCATCGCTATCGGTAGCAATTTTTTCACTACAACCACTGATTTGTGTGTGACTTGAGAGCGCAGAGATTATACATTGACGTGCTTGAATGATGCTCATCGCATTCAGCACATGACTCAAAGCTGCTTGTCTTGCCCCATACGACTCGAGCGACAACAAAGTTTCCGATAGTGATGGTCGACTTTGTGATTTTGATTTGACTGCAAACGTTTTCTCAGAGTCATAAATTCCTAAGCCATTGCTGCCGAGCGGATCCTTTGATGACGAGAACGGAACTGGCTCTCGCTTATTTTCTTCGGATGAGCATTGCGGTAAACTCCATGCAACTGAATGTGAACTGCCACAAGCTACACGATTTACAAATGTATCCAATCCAATTACAGAGCAAGGCTTCTTGTTTACAGTAGTCGTGCCAGTTCCTTGTTGACCGTGATCATTGTCACCCCAAGCCAATACCTGAAAATTATCAAGATTAATTATGAAATTGGACAATTCAAAAGAAACAGAATGGTGTTTGTTACCTCTCCTGTGTCGGTGACTGCTAAGCAATGAAGAGCTCCAACAGCCACATGAACAACTTTTTTGCCGCGTAGTCCTTGAATCGGTGTCGGTTTTCTCAAATGCTGGTCTGAACCATGACCTAAACGGAAATAATCGCCCTGAAGAATGGAAAAAGTTTTGTTGTTGTTATTTAAATGCATATGTATGGATATAGATAGAGTTGGTTCCTTACCTTTCCCCATGTCCAAATTTCACCGAATTTGGTCAATGCCAAACTGAACTGTGCTCCACATTCAATTTGAATGACACCAACGTCCGTGAGTCTTTCAATAGGTTGCGGAATAAAACAACCTTCAGATCCACCTCTTCCAAGCTTTCCAAAATCTCCATCACCCCTATTCAGGTTGAAGAGAAATACCAATAATATTTCGATAAAATACGTTCAATGATACTTTGAATTATTATTCATAATAATTTTGTGCACAATCGTTAATGAAAACAAACCAAGAATACACCACTCCATCTTCAGTCAGCGCTAATGTTTGGGCATCTCTGCTGCCACATGCAACTTGTACAACTCTGCGTCCGAGTAACGCTTGAACTAGCTTCGGTTTCAATTGTGTTAAATTATCACCATGTCCCAGCCTTCAAGTAAAATAAACAAGCATGATATTTGATTCGGTCATAGCGATATTTTTCTCGTTCGGTAGAGTTGTTTACATACCTGCCATACTCTCCCAATCCCCAGCAGTACAATTCTCCTGAAGCAGTTATGGCTGCCGAATGTGACGAACCACACGCAATATCGCGAATTCTCTTTGATCGTAGTGCTTCAATTAGCTTTGGTTTATCGAGAGTTATTCGGTTGTTGTGACCTAATTTTCCATCTTCACCTTCGCCTAATTCGCAAAAAAATAACCAAAAATATTTGGACATTGAACAAATTCTGGGTTTTTATTGCTGAAAAAATATCCGCTTACCCCAAGAGAAAGCGCGTCCATCCAGTGTGAGTGCCATTGCATGTTTGCCACCCGAATGAACAGCGACTTTCTTCACAACGTATTGGCTCAAAACGGGTAATTTTCGAGGTGTTGACACATTATAGTTGTGACCCAATCCAAGCCTTCCATTAGTTCCTTCGCCACAAGCATAAACTTTGCCATCATGTGACACAATAAACAAAGACTTTGAACCGCCAGCAATGTGAATGGGTTTCAATTGCGTCAGTGTTGATGAGAATGTTGGACACTTAACTTTTGATCCTTTCAGACCACCCAATTGCTCTTTATCGTTTAAGCCCCATACAAACACTTTGCATTGATTTTGATCGACAACGTTTCGTTCATCTGGGCCCGTGTATGATGTTGATGAGCTTGGTTCACAGTTGATAATATTGTCTGATGCAAGGAACGCTGCATTTGTCAACATTAAATCGAGATCGGTTTGTTTTTGACGGCCAATTATGCTGATACCGTGCACCTGAAATAGAAAAATTGAATTGAATTGAATTTAGAATAAATAAAAATGCAAATTTTGTTATGAAATCGTAAAAAAGAGGCCCACTTTGCACTGTATTCCGTTATTTCTGCACTGTTTGATTACAATTTCGATCCATTTGTAATACTGTCGAATATCCGAAAGCAGTTGAACGTTGATATCCGACGGTTTAATTGAAACCCAGCTGTAGTCTTTCATGGAATCAACCGTATCTCCGGCTCGAACTACAATCAATGACGGCATATGCGAACAATCGGAGCCATTGACGGTTATTGCGAGCGAATGAATGAGAACATTTTCATGCATTTCAATTCGAATCCAATGCCTCTGTGTGCTTGAACTTTGCCAATAGTTTGTTGAACGATCCAAAAGGTATTTGGCTGACGATTCATTCGATGAAACACACAACGAACGAATGACACGAGACCAATCCTCAATTAAATCACCTTCCGATTGCATTTCGTGTGCACCACTTTGATAGTAATCATTTGCCTCTGGATTTCCCTGGCACACCAACTCCAATTCACTGAAAAATGGAAAACGAAAGATTGTCATTAACAATTATTCTGTTCTTTTTTTCTTCTCTTCAACTAAATTGCTTCACGACCGTTACCTGATAATTCCGCTCCAGTTGAATTGCGTAGGAAAATCCACACTGGCATCACCATTTTCATTGATAGCGGTAACAACGCCAATGCTTCCAGGTGTAACTGATCCCCATTTGTAACGCGGAGTCATAACATTTTGATGTATGCGAACGTGTGAGCCAACCGTGATTGTTGGTTCAATGGACGATGAGCTGCAATGCGGTAATTGATCATTGGATGTCGACGATGGTTCAAGCAATTCAATATGCACAAATCGCATCCAATAAACAGTACCATACACTTTCCAATCGACATACACATTCAAATCATGCAGTGCTTCCGGTTCGACTTTTTCAACGGTACCAATATCACCTTTGCGAATTTCTTCAAAGTCTTCGCAACAACGCACAATCATTCCAGGAACCACAATGCTGCGAACGTATGTAGCGTACTGGTCCAATGATTCGAAATCATCTCGAGTTGCATACTTCCTTTCATTCGTAATGCTCGTGTCGTTGAGCGATAGTGCTTCGATTGCATCAGACATGCTCTCCGTTTCTGAATCATTTTCCGTTAGTCGTGAGTCATGTGAGTTAGCAATTGCACACTCTTCCGGGTGGTCAATAATCCATTCGACTGTACGACCAACAACTGGAGCGACATCTTGTTGTTCTGTGGAAGAAGAATTTATTTTTTTGAATTAATATTGAGTCAAACATATGGTGTGAGCAGATTTTCATAGTTCAATAATTACTCAATGTTCGCACGGCCAGCTCAACAGCTCGCCGATTGAATCCCATTCGCACAACCAAGTTAATGTTCATTTCATCGGATGAAAGCGGTCGCCTTGCGTTGGCCGAACTTCTTCTCGATGCTCCACCAGCAGCCAAATTGCCCGTTTGATCACTCAGTGGCGACTGCATATCGTCTAGGAACTAAATTCAAACAAAGATTATTTTCATTAACAATATCTCCTATGTTATGTATCAAGAGGTGGTCTATCTTACCGCATCATTATAAAATGGAACGCCATGAATCAAAGTCGGTTGAAGTGGTGCCAATATTGGTTTGGTCATTTTTGTTGTTGAGCCAGCAACAGCTGAGAAATACGGCACGCTATTTTCCATGTACAAATTATTTGCCAATTGTTGTGATAGATTCAATGCGGCCATCGACAGTTCATCATATGAATAGATCGATTTCAATGGATTGCTTTGAATGGCACGAGCCAATATATTTTGTAGTAACAATTCATTGATGACTCTGGTTTTGAAGTCATCCAAATCGTCATCGTCGTTGATATCGTCGTTGTCATTTTGAACCGAATTTTGTGACGCATTCGAGCCCATGTAGTGCATTGTAGGCTCTGGTGTGGTATTTTTATCATCACAAGACGTTTCGACTTTGATCGGAACATTCATATTCGCTTCTTGTTCGTTCAAACTTTCTTCGGATGAATACCGCGATATACCTGGCACTCGTTGTCTCAGTATCTTACGCAACGACGATTGATTTTTAAATAAAACACCCATTGAATTCAGGGTGGACAAATGGATTTGTTGCATTCGCAACAAGTTCACATCGATTGAGCCCTTTAAATGCGGTTTCCATTCGCCGGGTCCATACAGCAAAACGGTCAGTGAATTCAGGAGCATCTCATTCAACGGTAATCGATTCATATTGAATGACATTATATTGGCACATGATGTAGCTGTTGCCACAGAAATTTTCTTCTTTTCCGTGGAAATGGTCGAATCGGAAAAGCTGCTGCTGCTTATTACTACCTTTCCTTTCGTTGTAAACGCAATGATTGTTCCATCATTTCCGCTGTTCAAAATATTCATTCCGATTCTCGGTCTGGGATCACATCCGCCGATTGTCACCAAAGCTGCCAAAACATACGCTTTCTCTGAATCGGCCGTTGAATGGCGCACAATTGACTGACGACCCTGTGCTTGATCGGTGCTCTCTGTGAAAAATTCAGCTGCGATGCACAATTTTTGGCTGAGATACGAACTGATTGCGTTATTCCAAACGGGCAATGTGTGCAGTTTGCGCAGAAGTGACACCATTTCTTCGGCTATTGTGCTGGAATTCGATGCACTCAATAAAACACGGGATTTTACATCGACCGAAGCATGCAAAATTGACAAATCATTTGGGCAAAACAACACAATCCTTCCCAAGCATTCGAAAAGCTGTTCGATGAATTTACCCACCAAATCACTCTCATTTTCATCCCAGTGAATCAAAGTGGCGTGAAGCAATCGCACACAATGCACTTTCTTGTAAACATCCATTTCGTCGGTTATTGAACTATTCAAAATATCCACGCACAAATTCAACCACGTTGGTGTGGTTAATAATTTTGACATCTGCTTTGGTTGCGCTATCGCTCTCAAAAATCCTAACATCGTCCAATACTGGAGGCCCATGTTTGTAATGCTTGACTTGGATGCAAGTAACATTCGGAACATTGAACTCACATTGGCCAGGGCGCATTTTTCAATTTTATCGCCATACAATGCGATGCTGACCGATATCATTTTCAACATTTTCATGCTCGCATTTTTCAACAGCTTCGTTGGGTGCGAGCTGCCAGTTAGATGCATTTCGGTTAAAGAAGTATCCTCTTCGGTTTCCGTATCCGGCGATATGATTGACGATGAAACACAGTCGGCCAGTTTCAAGTCGTATTGGCCTTCTTTTCCCATTCGATAAGAGTTGGTCGTGCCATTGTCCCATTCAACGCGAACCCAACTATTGGGAATTGAAAACGGAGAAAATTGATAAGTTTTTGTTCAAGATTTCTTTCAACTTGGGAGAATTTCCAATGCAAACTTACCCATCATCACCGACTTCACTGATTATTCTGCCTTCTCCTGACGGTCCATCTTGCTCGCCCCACTTCCAATCTTGGCCGCGCACAACACGAGTTCCGATTTTCATCAGTTTCGTTAGCTCCGGTCCAGTCAAGTTGGCTTTGTTACATTTCTGTGTGTCAACGAGAATTGATACATGAAACAAATGAATCGAACTTGCAAGCACAATTTTCATATTACCGTATACGGCTTACCTTAACAATAGCATCCTCATAAACGTATGACAATTCATTTAACGTTTTGCCCGGTGGATTTTCGCTGCCAGTTTGTCGCAGTAAACTCAAAATACTACCCAATGTACCGGCATTGATGATTAAGCTGACTTCGTTTGGTCCGATATTTTTCGACAAAACACCAAACACACTGAGCAAAAATCGTGCTCTTGGTAATTTTTTCAAGAATACATTTGATGTATCTTTTCCCAATGCAATTGGATGGCATTTCTGTTTTGCGAAAATTTGATCTTGATTCACAAATTTTTGCAGTTCAGAAATGGCCCATTCGATAATTTTTGCCTGCGTTAAAATCAGATCCACTTTTTGAAAGCTGCTAATCATATTGAGATCACATAGAACATTATCCAAAAAGTGTTGTTTGCTTCGATCAAGGAACAGTCCCAGATAACCGCTCAGCATGCTGTATTGAACGGCATCCAAAGTGTCGGTGACGCGCAACAATTGCGAAAACATGTCAATGCCCTGCTTTCGCAGCTTGTACCGTTGCACTTGACAGTACATGGCACGACGCAGAGTTTCTACGTCGCACGAATCTTGTAGCACAAAATCAACAATTAGCGCCATGGTTTTTGAAACATCGATGCTATTTGCCGTCGATTGACTATTCGAATTGTTTTCTTCGGCCAATCTAGTAACAATGCACTTTTCACTCAATTTTGTAATCACATCGTTGATAAACTGTTCATCACTCTGTTCACTCGCATATTGTGACTTTGTTGTATGTCGTCTGGCGGCGACGGCAGCTGCTGTATTATTTTCCGTGTCATTTGTAACGATAACTTTGGTTTCATCATTGTTTTCTTCGATGGTTTGTGGTGGTAGCGGCAACGTTGGTTTCTTTTCCGTTATCAAATCCACGGTTTTTCCATCTTTTGTCAGTTTTTCATTGTTAATCACATCATTTTGTGCATCCATTGTTTGACTATCGTCGTCGACAAATTTAAGGATTTCACTCGAATCCGAATGCATGGTTTTATCAGCTTGAACCGAAAATCCGCTTAAATTTTCGACCGATTGCACTTTTGTTGTGAACGATGCTGTTTGACTTTGAATGGTTACATTCAAAATGTCCTCCAGTTTGGCAGCGCATTCAAGTACCTTCTTTGACTCTCGCATGTCGATGATAATTTTACGAACAAATGCCTTGAATCGTGGTGTTCGATGCAGAATTTTAATTCGATTGAATGCACATTGCTCCATACTAATTACCGGCCGAACTTCGTACAGCAAAAATCGACACTAATAAAGAGAATAAAGGTAGCATCAAACATCAAAACCAAAACCACACAAAAAAAAGACGGGAAACTAAATGTGTACTATAGAAACAAATAATATATATATATACCTTGTCAATCATTGACGCACACACTTCTTTGTAGCTTCGGTTCAGTTGCTGGCGCGTTTTAATCAGTGTCCATTTGGTTTGATGTACCAGTTTGATGATTTCGGCAACTGGTGCAGGCAATTTATCGATTGTACTGTTGCTGCTCAATTCACAATCAACGACAGCCAATACCAAAGCACCTAGGCTTTGATGCCTTATGAAAATTGCCGTTAGCAAACGCTCCAATTCGGAAATTGGATGCTCAGGTGGAAAATCTTGATGCCAAATCAAATTGTTCTCTTTGCAGAAGCGTTCGGTTATTGTTATCCAAGTTGAAACTAAAGGATCGGTTAAACGACCCTCGCCCAAACCATTCAACAAAGAGTCTATACGATGTGTTATTAACTGGAAAGAAAGAAAAAAAAATACACATTTGAAATGTTGAAAAGTCGAAACTTGTGCAAAAGTGCCTGAAGATTCTAAAAACGTACCGTATTTGGCCAATGAATTGGTTGCGAGATATCGGTCAAATTTCTGGATTCAGTTGGAGTGCTTCCGGCTGTCGATGTGCTACTGCGGGCCTCTCCTTTTTCTTCATCAAACGGATTGGATGGCTGCAGACAGTTCTGTAGGCCACCACTAAAGATGGGTGAATTCAACAGGTTTTTGCACTGAATTTCGGCCGGTTGAAGATTAGATGCTTTTTGTAGCAACGTAGCACGCAATCCAAGCAGAAACGAAAGTGTTCGCTCGGAATCGAGATGCGTCAAGACTAGCGACTGATGCGTTGAGCTCTGATATGGAGGAAAATTGAATTGGAATACATTCAATTTCTACCTTCTATTTTGCAATTGGAAAAGAAATTCAAGTCAAACTCACTTTCTCTTCGTTGTCATTGCATGAGAATTTCCCGATTCTCAAATGTGACGAAATATAGTCTAAAGCAGGTCGATGTTGTGGATTGTTCATTTCAGCCGACAAATCCTTTCCAATGTTGTTCATCAACAGCGCATTTGTTAAGGGACAATCGGATCTATGCAGAAAACAATAATCGAAAATCAATAAATTATCCAAAAGTTCAATTTCAATGCCATTGTAAAGATGATCAAATTTAACGTCACTTACTGATAATCGTCAATGTCGTACACGAATCCATTCATAACAATCCATTTGCCGTTGTCGGCAATATGGTTTTCCAAATCGGACTGTCGAATCAGCATTGATTCTTCGTTGCATTGAGATACTTTCGACGAACCGCGGCAAATAATTCCCGGCCAGCCCAAACTGTCGTTATCTTGAACTTCGGATTCGCAAACCAACCGATTCAGTTCATTTAGTACGCCAAGCAATGGAACAAATGTATTATTCCAATCGATTGTTTGCAGAACTATTCCACTTTTATCGCGATGCAACAGCACAAGACCAATCAATAATTCATACAGCAACGTGTCCGAAATGTCTCCCGACAGAATTTCAGAGATATTGGTTTCTTTTGAATGTGAAACCACTTCATGTGCTTTCGATAGGGTGGTGATACAGAACGTTACCACATTTTGCACGTATTTTCCCAAGAGAGCTTCGGATCCGTTGCAATCATCGTCTGTCGACTGATGAATGTGTGCCAACAAAAGTCGTTGGAAACGGTGCAATAAATCGAGACTAGGTGACAGTTGTTCGGGTGTTTTGGTGAGAACTTCATCGGTTTTGTAGTATGCTGGTCCGGCGACGAGCAATTGTGAGAGTCGTGCCTGTGTCAATGCCGAATTATTTCGCAACAGCTGTTTGATCAGATGAAGTAATGGAAGATTTTGACTATTATTCAAGCACTCTTCGGGTTCGGTGTTGATTGCTTGTTTCAATGCTGTTTGCAAGCCTTCGTCTGCCATTAGGGAATTGACTAAAAGATCGGTCATAAATCGATGGCCCGATGTTGAGATACTCGGTTCAGATGGCAGTAATGACGTAAGCGTTTGTGCTCGTTCGGTCGCGGATGGCAACAGAATACTCCATCCGATTTGTAATGCCCGTTGAGCTGAATCTTGAATGGTTTTTAGAATATTCGAACCGCCGGCTAGTTGAAGAACGCGTGACTTTAAATTCACCAATAATCGACTGCCTTCGGCCAAACCAATTGATTTCGGTGACATTCCATTTGAAATGAGTGAATAGAATTGAAGACGCAACAAATTCAAACATCCGACTGCAATGCACTCAAATTCTTGTGACGGTGGATGTCGCGTTCCTTCTGTCGATGCGTTGTTGTTGCCTCCGCCACCACCACAACTATTCGAACAAACCATTGCCAATAATTGTTCTAGAAATTTAAACGTTGACTCACTTAAATCGACGACATAAGGAACTCTTGTATCGATTGCAATCACAGACGAATTACAATAGAGGATACTGTATGTTGAACCGCACGCGATGCCGCTGATTCGAACCGATGGTGGTGTCGTTAGAATTGGAGTGGAAATTATTGGGTCTCTGCAAACCGAATGATGGCAAATCTGTTGGAAATCATTACGTCCCCATCCGAACAGTTCGTTATTGCTACTTAGTGCCATGCAGTGTGACGAACCAACAGCAATGTCAATGATTTGTTTGCCCTCGAGTGCGCACACTTTCTTCGGTATATAGCAATATTCCGCCGGGCCTTCAATCGTTTTTATAGCCGCGGCAATTTTCGCATTTTGTCCATAGTCGGTTGTGCTGTGGCCTAAGCGACCACCATACCGTTTGCCCCAGCTAAAAATACGACCATCGTAAGATAATGCCACACTAAATTGGTTTCCAATGAACACTCGTGATACCATGGGCAGTCCGTCAATTTGAATGGGAAGCGCACAGCCAACACATGAGCCATTACCCAATTTACCATAGTCTCCGTCTCCAAAGGCAAACACCAATCCGATATCAGTGACACATAGTGTGTGTGCATCGCTTGTGCCAAGCGCCACATCGACTATTGTGTGGTCTTTTAATGCTTGCACCAAAGTGGGCTCTAATTTATCTTCTGAATTGCCATGTCCCAAGCAACCGTAATTTCCTCGTCCAAATGTGTACAAATCACCCGATATGGTAAGTGCTGCACTGTAAGCCGATCCACAGTAGATTTTCGAGATGAATTTATTGGCCAACGCGGTGATTTTCGTCGGTTCATCTCTTGATTGTTTATCGTTCAGTCCAAGTCTTCCATTTTCACCGCATCCCCACGAAAACACATGGTGTTCCGCATTCAATGCCAGAAAATGGTTTCCCTCATAGTGAGCCGACAATTTTAGAACACGTGAATTTCCAAATCCTTCGATTCTTTTGAATGCATGCGATTCATTTGGTTTCTTGACCATTGGTGTTGATTCATTTATCACATAATCACTTGTGTTTATTGCAAACACTTCGCCGTCGGTGGTCAAAAGGAGCATATGTTTTTCGCTACATACAACACATTCAATTGTTATTGGTTTTTGGAATGAATCCAATAAATTGTCCAAATGTGGCTGCAAGCCAGTAGATGCTTCGCCAAACACTGGCAATTCGGTATTCACCGGATCCGATAAAAATCCAAAGTTGTCATTATTCGAAAAGATCATTCCGTAGGTGAAGAGCTGTGGTGATGCTGAATTCTGAATGGTATGCTTTGTAACGTAGTTTGAGGTTGGTAAATGTGGCTTTGCCAATCGATCCAAATGGCTCATAATCACAACGGCCGCTTGTTTCAACTCAATACTGGCCGCTTCTTGATCGGGTAATTTCAGGAACCTGTAATTAAAGCACACAGAAAATAAAACATCAAAACCAATCTCGATGATATTATGACGACCAAATGAAGAAAGTGTCAAAATTCACCTCAAAAACGACTCAGTCGGTGCGATCGATCCTTCATTGGTATTGGTAACGATATCCTGGTTATTAGACTGTATGGATTCATATCGCCGTAGAATTGGTATGAGCGGTGCACCGCTATTTTGTGAAAATTGCTGCGTTCGATTGTCGTCCGTGTCTTTTTCCTTCTCCCACAGAGTCATCAACAGCAAAATGGCCTCGAGCGAAGCGCTCAATGTACCCTTTTGTGATTCTAGCTCAAGCAACAGACTAAGTGCAATGTGTCGATCTGTTCGCGGCACTGAACCGCTTAGGATTAGATCATTGTTTACAACTTGTCGTAGGAATTTTATTGAACGCTCGAGCACTTCCAACCACAACGAAGATACTTGTGTGGAATCGAAGAGCGAAGCTTCTGGAAGACTTTGCATTGCATCCAATGCTTCAGACAGTAATTCACTGCATAGTTCGCAATCTTCGCCCGATCGCCAGGCTCGCCGCAAAAATGCAAACGAGAAGTTCAAAGCGGCGCGAGTTCCAACGCGAGCCAAACCAAATGTAGCCTTTTCAATTGACGCACTCGCCTTTTGCTGTTGCAAATTCAAGATTTGTTGCTCTGTGCTTTGTGACTTCTGAAAAAACAGATAAAGGCCAACAAAAAAGAATAAATTGATGTAAAATCACTTGGCAACGAGATTTATCCTGATTTTACCTGTAGTTCAAGCTTTTTAATGTGTTCATTTTGTATAGCTTGTTTTCTCAGCGAAGTCATTGGATTCTTGATTGATGTTGGTGATGATTTTTGTGAACGAGCCAGCGCCACTAAATATCGATGATATACAAAAATTCTCTGCTTCAAATGAACGGCCGACAGTGAATGGCCAGCTGCTTGTAGCGATAGATCACGCTGTTCCGCAAGCAAAGCTTTTATGCATAACTTTTTGTCACGGTCACCTAAATGCAAATAACCACAAAAAAAATTAACAATTGCAAACAGTTCGACTTGTTTTTTTTTCGCTCATTCTTACTTGGCATTTGACACCAAAGCCACGAGTCAAGAATTGAATCGGACGCTGGTATTGCTTCCGATTCATCTGCACCATCCGATGATGACGAACGTTTTGGCAACGGTTCACTGCCATCAAGCACACGACACGACATGCAATTACAGCAGTTCGCATCGGGCCGACAATATCCGGTGCAACAGCTGCACGTTAATTTTTCAACGCCACAATAATACCGTCGATTTGATGGCAGTGCGTACGAAACATTGCCCACTGCATTATTTGCTTCCAATTTAAAGGCCCCACTATTCGAACTGTTGCTATTTACATTTGAGCCACTGCTATCACAATACAATTCATTGTCTTTGATTAAATTATTCCATAAAATTGACAAATTCTCGGGTGAACGTAGCGCTGCCAATAAATCCGCCCGAAGCCATTTACTGTTCAGATACGGTAATGGCCGTAGTCGAATGTCAGTTGTTGCTGTGATTGTTGCCATGATTATTTTCTTTTTCTTCTGCGATCTAGGTTGTTTCGTAGTTTTTATATGATAGTGAATCGAAACAACAACAATAAAATACAACACACGCACTTGACTTTTATATTCTCAATGGGATTCAACAGCTAAATTTGTAGTTTACGATGCATTTGCGCTGCATAAATCGATAAAAAATGTGTCAAACATCGACGATAATGACGACGACAGCAACAACAATCGAATGGCGAAAATGGCACAAATCGATTTTTCACATTACGAACTCATCGCCATCCAATTCAATGACGACGCAATACCAAAACTCACACTCATTGCTATCATCCACATTTTTTTTTACAGTTTCTTTACATTTTCGATGGAGAGAAATGAAAATGAAAATTTATTTGCTGGCCATTTTCACTATTCATTCCACACCCTGTCCTATTTTTTTTTTCTCTTCACAAACGCCAAACACATATACTATATTTCCCTTTGGCTCATAAAATTAACAATTTCACCAATCCGGTGGTGATAAATCTATTGAATTTATTAAATTTCAGTCAATTTCCCACAAACAAATTGAATCAAATCATGGAAAAATGTGTGAAAAATATTTGAAACTAGAAAAAAAAAATCAAATGAATAATGGTTGCTGCAATGTAAGCAAAGCAAGAAAAAAATTGCCCTTTTCTCTTTGGTATTTTTAGAATGCAGATGCAAACTCTACGGCTACTTAACTAACACTGTCACTTGTGTACTACTTTAACTGGAGAGAGAGAAAAAAGAATATGGCGAACACCAATGTTATTCAAGCCGATGTATGACATATTGTATGTCAATGCACGCACTGTACATTCGCTACACAGTACACACCAACTGCTGCGACTCTATACGTGTGTCTATAGTATGGTGTATTTTTGTACGGGGCTATGTTGTATGTACTATGGTTGTATTAGACTTTCAAATGTCAAACAATGTATTTATACATATAACCAAAATGAATGAGCGCTCCACCAGAGCAAAGCATTGGCGTTTCGACTATGAATCGGTCATATGTTGCACTGCGCGCAACGAAAGCAAAAGCGAAAGCCAAGCGTTTTGTTTACATCGACGCACGAATGGTGCGGCATCCACAGCATGCGCCGTAAATTGCAGTTTTTTTTTTGTTGGAAAAACCGACAATCAGCTGACTTTTGTTTACACATTTCGTGTTAGCGGCTGCACATTTCCTGGTATGCGTTTATTTTGCTGCGATGGCCTGCGACAAACTGAAGTTGGTAACGATTCATCTCGATTGAGCGCGAACACACAGCCGAACAAACGATATTTACACATCAATATAATATAATACAACATATGACCAAAGGAAGACGAACGGATGTACATATATCGTTTGTTACCTATGTTTTTGAAGAGAAAAAAAAGAATCTAGTTTCCATATTCGAAAATTGGCATTTTGAAAAATAAAAAAATTGCCATATTTCATGACATTTTAATACATTGCCAATATTATACATTCTATATTATAGTGCTATGGCTTGGCTTGGCTTGCGACGAATTTCGAGTGATTTACGTTTCTATTGGGATTCTTTTGGAATCAATCGACATTTACTATCAATGCAATCAACCATGAATAAATATATTAAAAACGAAATAGCACACGGAACTTTGTTTTCAACTGACTTTTTTGTGAATTCTGATATAAAATTACATCATGTGTTTCTTTCGTATTTTTCCGTCCACAAAGACTGCGGTATTTTAGATGCAAAATGTTCGAAATGAGGCGAAAAAAACAGTTTAAAAGTATTCAATTGATATATTTCATAGGAAAAAAAACTTGTGAAACAGCATTTTCGAAATTTTTCCATTGGCAAAAACAAATTCAGTGACAAAATGTTCATAAATAGATTTATTTATCCATGAGTTTTCCATGAAACACTTTATTGGAATGCGTCTTTGGCTGAGATAAACGCTTTGCATAAAAAACCCTTTCATTACAAAATATGAAGAATCGTATTCGATATTATCGGCTAAAAATACGACTGAGATTTTAACACAAAATTTTTGAACTATCAATTCGTGTCTCTTGTATTATCTGTCTATAACATTTTGGCTGGTGTGTTAGCTATGATAAATGCGGGTAAGCCTATTGTGTCAATGATTTTTTTTTGCATTTTCAATGGAAAAAAGCTGATAATGGGCTGAAGGTATTTAATAAAATTGTTCAAGTTATTGAATTGCTAATGACAAAACTAGCGAACTTTGAACAATTTTTTTCAGGGCCAAAAATGATAGTGCTTATCAAAGACATCGATTGATTGTCTCAATGAAGCAAAATGATTTTAGCAAAATGTAAAAAAGTCATTATGAAATGACATTTTATGCGTACATATAAGAAATGCAACCGATGGCCATCTTTATTATTTTATGGATTCTGCGAAAGGTTTGCTGTTCGCTGATAGATATTTTTCTTTCTCTTTTTTTTTCTCTCAACTTCTTGCAACTTTGTCATCACGAATACACATTTTATTGCAGACAAAGTGTTGTTGACATCTCAAAGTCATTTTCAAAAAATATGGTTGTTTTTTGTTTAGTTAGAAGATGCGCTTTGAAAATGATTAGTGTGAATTATTGTTGCATCATATTGCATCATTGTTGCATCACATTTCTTTTTTGTTAGTTCATTATTATTTCTTATTTATATCGTGTCGTGTAGAGAGGGTCATTTGGACCGAGAAAGACAAATGTGCCTTTATTTGGACGCTAACATTATGAAATATAAATACTTTGTTAAACTCAAAATTCCAAATTATGATTTAATTTGTTTTTCTAACACTTTTTTTTCGTTTTGTTTCGTTTAAAAATAACATTTGACACTATAAAATAACGCTACTACATGCCAAAGTTTACTCGGCAAATTCTCTTTCACGATAGTCGGAGAAAACTCAATCAAATTCAGTTCAAAATGACCAATAACGGAATAATAGATTAAGCAATTTCTTATCAAACGAAACGATTTATTTTTACAAACTCATCTGTGTATTTCTCGTTTCTGTTGCTTAGCGAAAATATCGATGAATTTGCCGGTGTTAATTTGTTTTTATGTATGCACACGTTTCGGTTGTTGAAATGTAAATTATCAACCAAAAATAGAGACAATCATCTGAATTGACCGGGTCTGATGAGTGATTTTGAGGAGGAAAAGTGAAGTGAAAGAGAAATGTGTGCATAACTGCACAAAATCAGGTGATTTGACGAAAGTAGGTGAAACTGCAACTCTTAGTTATTTAATCATTTATTTGGTGCTTTTATCGAGTGGGGTTTCCTTCGGTTTAATATAAATATACAAACAATTCGATCAGAAATTCAAATCACATTTCATCCTCAACTAGTATCAGTTGGATTTAGTTTACAAAATAATCGTTGCAAAAATGAAGTTCATGGTATGATCAAAATCAGTGCTTTTGTAAAGGAAAAACTTGAATAAAACGTTGCACAGTTATGGTGGTGAAAGGAAAAAGAAAGGAGTTAAAATTTTAAAACAGAAAATTGCTTGACAATAATTTAATTTTTCTTTTTCTTGTTCTTGCGCTTTAGATTGTTTGTGTATTCGCCTTGATGGCAACCGACACCATGGCAGCAAGCCTGGGAAGAACCAAACGGGGCATTTATGGAGAAAGTTACAATGGATGGCAAGCACCTCAGATCAGAACTATCCATGTACCAGTGCATCACGAGCATGTGAAACACGTTCACGTACCAGTTCCAGTGCCCCAGCCATACCCTGTATACAAGGAGACTGTCAGACATGTTCCAGTTGACAGAATAATCGTGAAAAAAGTTATTGAACATGTTCCTCAACCATATCCTGTCATCAAGGAGGTGGTGAAACATGTTCCCGTGGAAAAAGTCATTATCAAGAAAATTGCCGAGGTAATTTAGATTTGGAAATTCGTATGGTTATCTAAACAAAATTTGAAAATTCTCTGTAAGCTTGGCTCTTTCGAAAATTCGTTTTTTTTCATTTTGATAGCTTTGCAATGTCCATTAAATTGGTTTTTCTTCGTCAAATTCGTCAAGTGATGAAATAACTTTTATTTTGCAGCCATATCCAGTGGTCAAAGAGGTTCCAGTCGTAAAACATATCCCAGTAGAAAAGATTGTTCACGTGCCACAAGTAAGTGTAAAACTGATTTAATTTTCATTCCAAACAAAATTAATTCGGTTTACCCCAAATATCAACTGAATTTCAAGAACAAACATAAATTGAGTGCTAGAACAACCAAACATTAATGAATTCCATATCTAAGACCAAATTTTTATCCAATAATCGTTGAAATTTCACACCATTTAGTTTACATTGTATTGTATTGTATTTGCATTCGATCTATGTGAAGAATTAATGTGCTTTTAGTCATAATATTATAACGCTATTTTGATCTTTTGTCCACACTTTGTAGCCTTACCCAGTTGAAAAAGTCGTTGTTAAGGAGGTAGTGAAGCATGTACCGGTCCCAGTTCACCACGAAGAACATCATGAACAGCCACAGGTTTGTAATTTTTCGCTTAAAATATATATCATAATATTTTATTGATATGCGAATTTATCGTTTTCCATATTTTCAGGAATTAACTGTTCTCGTTGAAGACCAACATCAACAAGGATATGCTGGTAATGGTGTAGCAGACAATGGATGGAACGCACCATCATCAAGTGGATATGATGCCTCAGCAGGATGGGCTGAACCACAATCAAACGGATGGTCAAAATAAGCGTATTAAATCTAGTCAAGAGTCCAAGCATACAAAGCCGGACTTTCACATCCCCATTTCTGTTTTGCCGTTGTTACTTGTTTTTGTTGAATAATTCGTATGTTATTGTTATAGATTTGAATAAAAATCAATTGATACATCTCTTTTTGTAATTTATGGAAAATGACTCCAATTTATTTATCATTCATGAATTAAACTATTATGTAATTAAGCAACGATGACCGCGGTTTTTCATGAAAAGTAATCAAAATTATAAAAAAATTGCACACCGCAACGAAACTCAAATTTCGTGCTAAATTCCACCGCGCGTTGATTCATACATCGGGGGCAAAATGTCAAAAACTATTGCGTTATACGTTGAAACATCTTGTTCTTCTGAATCCGCATGCGTTGGTACTATAATGGATCGCAAAACAAGAAAGCTGTTTTTTTTTTTCATCTTCGAAGAATTTCAAATTTAAAATTCCAAATTTGCATATCTATCGCATAAATAAAGGCCAGGGTATGAAGTACTTCCGAACATATATTCACATTGATGTCATCAATATCTAATTTATCAACGCATGTAATGCTGAAATCTCCATCAGGTTTAGCTAAAATATGCATATGGTTCTTGGCTCATAAAAAGAATTCAAATATTATATCAGATGGATTTGATGATAAAAAAATGTTCTTTTAACGAAGAGATTTCTCTGCTATTCCAGGGGTTTTGAGCATTTCTTTTTAAAGCAAATATGGCAGTTTCAACAGTTTTGCACCAAAATATACCGATTTCTGCCGATATGCCAATAAATGTACAATATGTCAATAATGTATGCGGCATTCGCAGATATTTGAATAGAATCAAAGATGGCGGCCATCGTTTATTCAACAATATTTGCCGAATATTAGAATATTGACTAATATTGGCTAATATTGGCAAAAAAATTCTTCGCCGATACGTGTCGATAAGTGCCAATATTTACCGATTTTTAAATGATCAAACCGCTATTTCTTTGCAATCGTAAAACCATTTTACTCACAGCGTGAGCGTCAAAGCAAGTGACGTGGACAGTTTATCTTTCGGTATCTTCTAATTATGGTCATTTTTTCACTGCTTTTTCTGGCGCCGCGACGTTTCTTCATTTCAAATTTTATCGTACGTTGAAGGTCGCAGTGTGAAGCATCTCTCGATTTATACCAATATTGATAGGTGCTCGACGACAATTCATCAATTCACAACGGATATAGTTTAGCAACAATCGCTGTGATTTAATCTTTCCATAAAATTGATATCAATGATGATGTCTGTGGAATATTCAAATTGGTTCTTTGTTGTCTTTTTTTGGAGGAAAATAATCATTCCATTTGTATGTCTATTTGGATTGACTGACTCTTTTTTTCCTCTTCTAAAATTCAATAAAAATTAATGAGTATGACATTTGAGTAGTTTGGAGCGAAAATGTAATACAGAAAAGTTGCGAGGAAAAATGTCGATGATGAATGAGCGGAAAAGGGATAGATATATAGTAAACTGTATAGTAAACTATATTGAACTATATATCTATCTCTTTTCATTTGACATTTTTCCGCGCAACTTTTCTGTGTTACATTTTTGCTCCAAACTACTCATTTCTCATAGGGGAAGGTGGGGCAAATCGCCGCACCGGCCTTTTCTCGAAAACGGCAATACATGTACAAAAAGTTCTAGTGTCATTTTGAAGAGCAAATAATTCCCGATATTTGGATATATAATTCGATATTTTTCATTTGAGTACAGGCTCTGTACAGGCACAAACATGTTTTGCACTAGTGCTGAGTTCATTTTTCGGGTCCACAGAATTTCAGCTTTGACCATTAAAATTTAATATTTTTTTAAAACGGGTTGATGTATTTTGTAGCTTATCACCAGCTCTTTCTTATGGATATAAATTTGTTTTGGAATTTTTTAATATTTGTGGTTAAATCTGGCTTCAAACAGAAATAGTGACGGTGGGGTAAATCGCCGCACAAACATATGGGGTAAATCGCCGCACCTCATTTTTGCGTTTTAGCGCTAATTGGTCACTCAAAACTCATATCTGTGAATGTAGCAATGTAGATGGACTTTATACCGATCAATCAAAAGTTTCAGATCTCAAAAATATATTTTTGGGTGGAGTTATGTCCAAAACTGTGATGTGCTTATGGCGTCATCCGAGTCTGCGTTCGCATTTCTTGTGCGCGGCATAACTCAAACAATTGTCAAGATAATTAAGATCCGAAAACGGCAGAAGTTTTGGCATGTTGAGGCAAAGCCTCGGATTGATTTTGATATTCCCATGCTGCAACATGAGCCTCAGACTGATGGCCCTAGAAATGGTATTTTTGTTTGAACAAACCGATAAATAAACCACTCAAAACTGCTTATAACTCATATCTGTGGATGGAACAATGTAAATGGGCACTATTCCTATCGACAGAAAGTTTCAGATCTCAAAAATACCCAATTTTGACTGATATACGTTCAAAATTGTTAACATTTAATGGGTACGTTTCATCACTTTTGGGTACTAGTTTTCTTTTATTTTTTGAGAGTCATGAAACGTTCAAATCAGTCAACCAATGGTTGAAATTGTTTATATTCGAATGTCTGAAGATAATTAAATCATAAAATAAACAATTTCTCAAAGATAAACTTATAAAACGCACTGAAAATACAGCTGCGGCGATTTACCCCACCATTTTTGAAAATCCAAAAAAATGGACTTCCGCGCCGAGGGCCATAACTAACTTTTCCGATGGTCAAAATAAAAAATGTTCTTCTATAAAAGTTAGGTAAAAGAACAAGCTACAACATGGAAATAGGTATATTTTCATTTTTTTTCATTTTCATGGCTATGTATGGCTTTGGGTGAAAGTGCAGCGATTTGCCCCACCTTCCCCTACGGATTTAAACTAGATAAGGACTTGATTAAAAAAATTTATAATAACATATTAAAGCAGTATTTCGACATAATTTTTGGATAAATTTTATCACAATTTACCCACTTGAATTTCCGTAATTGGACGTATCATTCAAATAATCAATCATTCATGTTGATGACAAAATGTACAGCACTTTGAGTTTGCTATAAACGGTTTGTTCATCTTCGTCGACGAAAACAGCAGCGTTCATTAACACCAAGCAATCAAACGGATATGCGAAACGGGTTCTCATGCCGTCATATTAAAATATTGGAATACATCAAGATTGGCTAACAGCCGCATTTCGCTGAGCACATTCACTCAGGCTGTGTGATTTGTGCGATTTTTTTGCATTTGAATTGATTTTTGCTTTTTGCAAATTGATTTTTGCTTTTTCACACGAAATACATGTTGACATATGTATTATTTACGGTTAATTAAAAACCAAATTAGCAAACATTGGCGGCTGCAATTCATCATGGGATTAGGCCACAACAAATATGCCGCTTGATCTTGAGATGATCACCTATTTAAAAAAAAAATATTTATGGAAATACGTTATTAAAGAGTCATCACGAAATTTTATGCGCACAATTTATATTCACAACATAATCATGCAATTCATTTAAATCCCCAGAAAAGGCGTATTAGTCAGCATAGGAGAGCTGTCGTCTAGACGAGGATTTGGCAAAGAAAACCAATAAATTAAGCGCCAATTATTCCATTGGCCAAGAAATAATGGCATTCTGGGGATTTAAATGAATAACATGAATATGTTGTGAATATTTTTTGTTGTTATTATTTCATTGGCTGTCGAAGTCATCAAGTCCCCATGTCATATCAACACCAAGCACGAGCCAAACAGAAAACTTGTTAATAGGGAGAGTTTCAGTTCCTCAGGTGTTTTCTAATTGAATTTGCTGTTAAATCATTCAAGCATTCCGGATTAATTTGATTAAATTGTGTACACGAAAATTCGGTCACAGCATCTCGTGTGATAGTTCATTATTTATTGGGCAATCTCTTAAGTATTTCAAAATACTATACGTGTATTGGGGTATTCGGTATTTTTTGACAACCATAAACATATTTCTCATGCGCAAAATTTGAATCACAATCAAACGTTATCATCGAATTGTTTATGTTGCGGATTCGCTCAAGTTGTTGATTTTCGCATTGTATTTTGGCTTTCGTTGTACTCACAAAGACATCGTTTGAATTGTTGTTGAATTTGTATGTGATCATCGAAAAAGCTCCCAAATTAATAATAATGAGTTATGACATGTTTGAATGGAAAACGCGCTTCGTTCAACAATTATCGGTTGATCTTTTTTTGCAAGGCCGATTGCTGTTTTTTTTTCAATTTTTTTCATCAGAAAGAATATCGCTTATACTCAAAGTAGATCCGCTATGAATTTGACGCGAAAAGACACTTTCAAAACATGGACAAAAGTCAATCGATTTCTTGGAGTTTCTCTGTTGCGAATTGGCCAATCAATATATCATTTTAATCGAAAAGAACCAAAAATCTAAAACCATAAAATATAGACTTAGATTCTTTTCACATCATTATATTGACAATATCATTCATTTATTAAAAACAAAGAAATAATCACCAAGTCAAGCATTTACATCACATCGACAACAGCTTGTATCTTGATCATTTGCCTTTTCCCATTTCGTTTTATTGGATCTTTTGTTAGTGCGGCTGTGAGCCAAAGAAATTGTGTAACTCTGAGCGCGGTTGTCTTGTGCAGCCTTTTTTTTGCTGATTTGATTGCACATCTTTGAATATGTCAAAAGCATATTACCCGCATCAATGTTTATTAATAAAAATAAACATTTCTCAACGTTCTACACGACAAAATGACGAACGTCCGAACAAATGATTTGGGCGAAAGAAACAGGTTTCCATAAATGTTGATGGTGAGCTTTGACAAAGCGTAATCATATCGTAATCATTGTGACGTCGCTAAAAAAGAGAGACGTTCCTAAACTTTGTTGCCTCACATCAAATAACATTTTATATCGGTAGCCGCATCACATGCTCTGTGATATAAGATAAATATCTAGGCACCTCTTGCGCTATGAAGGCGATCCGTTATTGTCACTGAAAACAGATC